ATGTGGCTAAGAGTGTGCTGTAAACACTGTGGCTGTGAGAACTTTGCAAGAGTTGAATCAAGTACGGATTGTTAGGAGTACATTTTTTACACAACTGAAAATAAAAATATAAAAAGCACTTTGTAATAAAAAGGTGTTCTGCTAAACAATACGACACCATGTACTGTATTTCTACATGTCTGTAAGACCCACACACACCACCTCCTGAGGGAATGTACACAACTGGAATGGAGGTCCGTGATTGTGTGAGGAGTGACAGGAAGAGAGGAGGAAGTGTTGTCAGGTGATGGCTGCTGTTTCCTATGAAGACCTGTTGATTTTCTTGACCTTGTCAATCTCCTGTGGGGAACAAAAAATAATTAGGAATTCTTCCTCTGAGTGAAAAAAATTCAAATCTCCTAATCATCGCACAATGGAGAAATTCACAGTGTGAGTCTTTGCAACTCACAGGCTGCCACACGGGGAGGTGCCATTAAATATGTGGTTCCTCTAGGGCTCGAACCCAGGAATGTATAAAGCAGGTGTAATAACTGCTACAGTGTGGAACCGTAATAACTTAACCAAGTCATATAAGTGTCAAGCTCATTGTTATTAAATTGTGGACACTGTAGAGTGTAGCCAGAAGTGAATCCCCAGAAAATGACCAGATGAGTCTGTTGGATTAACAGTTAACATATCAGTGACTGTTGCTGGTCTGTGAAACACAAAGTTTATTTTGGACACAGTTTTTGAAATAAAAATGATTCTCTCATCAGTAATGGTTAGTAATAAAAAAATGAAGAAAAAAAATATGAACAATGAAATACATTCAAGTCATTTATCCAAAAAGTGGTAATAGGAACTCACCTTCAGCAGTGCTTGTTTTAATTGAATGTAAGCATCATCTAAGTTGTCATTGACAACTACCACATCGAATACGCCAGGTTCTTTACCTACGAGAAACAAATATTGATCAGTTTTAATACAGTTTTTTTTTTTCTCTGAACAAATACTTACTGAACTCCATGTCCACTGCAGCTGCTCTCAAACGCTTCTGCAGGCTCTCCTCCGACTCCGTTTTTCTGTCCCTGAGACGTTTTTCCTGAAACGACATAAGCTTGATAAACAGGCGTCCAACCCTGGCCTAGGAATCTGCCCAATTCCTGAGTCAACCAGGATTTTTTTTTACCCCTAGTATGACCAAGGGAATTGTCCAGATTTAGTTACCTGGTCAAATCTCTCTTTTGTGCTCTTACCAAAACTGCCATCGATGGCGGCTGGATGGAGATGTAGATGGGATCCAGGTCCGTCTTTTTGATGTTTCTCACTCCCTGCATGTCAATGTCAAGTATACAGATGAGATTCTTGGCCTGGACGTCCTGCACAGCAGCTTTACTTGTTCCGTACATGTTCCCCGAAAACTCTGCACTTTCAATGAAGTCACCATTGGCTACGCCAGCCTGCATCACATCCCGTGTGACATAATGGTAATCTGAAACCCCACAGAAGCACACAGGGCAAAAATTAACGTTACCTTTCAATAGAAGGTTACCTCTCAGCAGAATTATAATGTGGAATACAGTTTACCTTTGCCATTCACTTCTCCAGGTCGAGGGTTTCTCGTTGTATCTGAGAAAAATAGAAAGTACCGAAGGCTGTACTGCAGTTTGATCCAGACATAAATTATTGTAATAAATACATGAGCTGTTTGACAGACAAGACATCAATCCAACAATGACAGTTTACACTGTATGCTTGGATGTGACTTTATCTAAACTTTACCTTAATCATCAAAACTTCAGGTCTCAAACAAGTGCTAAAATCCTAAATATTAATTTTACACTACATTTTTCACTCTACTGCTATGAATCTGGTGCTTTAGTACAGTACTACTAACCACAGCAATGTTAACAGAAAGGCCAACACAAATAAGCTATACCAGGGGTGTCCACACTATTTTGGCTTGGAAGCTACTACCCAAATGACTATGCTAAGGTGATCTACCAAGAATGAAAACAATACATTTATTATGTATTTATGTAGGATTTAAACTACCTAAATACACACATCAAATGTTTGGTTAGTGATTAAATGCTTATAGCTGTATGGTACAATATGATTTTGAATTCTTACAATATATGGTCACTACTACGCACGATAGATTTTATTTGTTTTCATTTTAATTGCTCATGATCTATCAGCACTCTCTTTGCCATCAACTGGTAGACCACTGAGCTATACTAACAACTCAGAGGCAGAGTAATGCCAATGTTGTGTTCACGTGAGCTAAAGACCTAAAGTACAATAGAAAAAAAATATTAGAAGTTCAAGACAGTGGCTGAAAAAAGACAGTTAAATCTGTTTAAGGGTCTTCTGTAGTTTCTAGCGAATGGAAAAGTGAAATATTTAATATATCAAGATGACATTTACATTCACTGTCCCCATAAACCAACAGGAGCTCTTCTACCTGCCCTAAAGGTGACACACTTACGGGAGACGCTGAAGCCAAAGACACTGTCGTATTCCTTCATGAGCTTCTTGAGCAGAGTGCTCTTGCCTGCACCAGACGGGCCGCTAAACACCACAGGCCTGGGTCCCGCCATTGCTAAAAGAGAGACAGAGAAGTGAATGTTTGTTTTAGAAACCAATGGGCTGTGGCTGGAGAGAAGACGAAGACACACCTCAGATTGAGTCAACATGTGAGTGTAAGTACGAACTGCTGACACGTGGCCAGTTTCACATCATCAGAACAGGGTATCAAGTTTGGACAAGAGTTGCTGGGGAGTGGGGGGGGCAGGGTTAACACAGTGGAATTGCAAGCTGGCAGTTTTGACACATCTTCTACAGGGGCTGAACAAATCAACTGACCAACAGGCCTCAAGCGTCACCATGGTACTATTGAGGAAGCGTCCCTCATTAATTGGAGAGCCCTCTCATGGGAGGAGCACAGAGGAGAACAAATGCTGAGTGGCACCATCAACCACAGAAATCATAGGCTTTTCAATGAGCAATCAGAGCTCAACATGATTTAGAGGTTAAAATGAAGGAGGACAAATTTAATGATACACAACATTTTTAGCCCACAAAAAAATGCAAATTGTCATAAAACACAACAAATATAATGTAATATTCTTTAAAAGACACACAAACATACACACACACACACACATACATACAGTACAAAAATGTCTCATGAATATAAGTATGTGGCAGTTTTTGTTAGTGTTTTTCAAACATCTCAGTTTCACAAATTTTGAATTTTCTGGGTTTTTCTTTGTTTTAGACTTTACAGGGTTATCAGATTAAATGGATTCAGCTGTTGATGCTTTACCTAGATTAGCACACACAAAGAATGCATGAAGCAACCCGCACTGTGCCAATGTTGGGTCATGCTAAAAGTAAGTTACTATAATACTATATCTGCAGCTACAGGATCCTGCCTGAATACACATCTGATTTTTTATATAATATTACTCACAAAAATGTGTTAACACAAGCAATTCAAGTACAGAAAAATACCTGTAGCCTGTTGTATCTTCCCTCAAAGGCAGTGCAGCATTCATGTGAGCAGTAATGGTGTGACTGAATAGCAAGTACAAGATACAAATAGGAAGGGGGGGGGGGGGGAGGGCCACATTTAAACGCCAGCCGACTATGATGTAAAAAAAAAACCAAATGTTTAAAAATAGAATGCACACAAATTCTAGCTCACAGAAGAGATCTGTGTGGATTTTATTTCAATGGATGCTCCTCCATCTAGTTAAGATTTTATTTTTTGGTTGTCAGCAGCAATGTTGGAATTTTTTCAGCTAAAGTGAAAAACACAGTGATAATCACAGCTTACAGGTATTTAACTTAGATTAATATCAGGAATCAGATGCCGTGTAAATCAGCATAAACTGAGGAATTCCACTAGACATAACGACATGCATTTAATTGCAAAAAAAATGATACAAAAACATCTTAATCCACCGTTAAAATGATATAGCATTGTGCTGGGCTTCAAGACATCAGTTTAACAGACAAGACAAAAATCACAGCAGTATAATGAAGCTTTCTCTGCAGGCATAACCAACACAGTGGGGTCGTGGCTGCAGGTGCAGATGACAAGAGTCATTCTCTGTGGCCTCTTGAGTTTTTCCCTAACAAGGGAGATGGCTAATTAAAGCTTCAGGAGTTCATTTCTCTGAGGTCAGGAAAAAACAAAAACAACTCTTTTACAATTTTACAGTCTTTTTCCTCCCAAACACCTCACTCCATCCCAAATCTTAACCAACAGGATATCCAGTCATAAGTAGGTACAGAGAAATTGAAGCCTCTTCAAATGTGTAGTTATTTCTTTTAATTACTTACATCTTCAGATTTGCCAGGAATCTGATACCTGAAAATATAATCTATAAGCAATATTAGTAACAGTCAATAACAACATATTTTACAATACTAACATTTCTGGCATGTATGCTACACGTTTGGCAGTTGCCCAATTTGCAGCACAAGTCAGGTCACAAGTACAAATCCTGTAAATGTTAATTACTTGTTGAAAATAAATTAATAAAAAAATAAATGAATAAATAATTTTTAACAACTAGTCTCTTAAATTAGAGCTGCATGACAGGAAATGGAAGACTTGACATTACGGTTCAAATAAGTTAACACTTATTGGATGCTGCACGGTAGCCGTGCACTCATGTGACTGAAGTTATCCCTGAACAAAGTCATATGGAAGCAATAGTCTGATGTTACTATCCAATGGGATGAACACAGGCAATGTTTACCATCTGTCAATCACACTAGCTGGTGTTAGTACATGTACCAGAATAATACATTAGTTACTAATGCCCTGTTTCTCATCTGTCTTTAATCAACTCTGTACCAAGTTTAAACAGGTAAACTCTGGTGACTAAATGCAATTGACCAGTCAAGACAGTGAAATTTAGCTTTTATATTTGGTTTGGACTGCATATGTACTTTTGTACAACTTTAATTTTACTGCTTTGACTGTTTTAGTATATGTCACATAAAAAAGCTGAAGCAGAAGAGTTTCATGGGTGTATATGAACTGGCTCAAATGCAAAGTTCATTTCCTGGAAAGACCATTAAAACTGAACTTGACGGAAAGGAATATAACAATATTCTGCATTCTAATATTGAAAGAGTCACGGACATTTCACATTTTTTTACCTGAACTGAAGTGGCTTTAAACGTAACTGGTGATAATTAAACATCAGGATACAATACAAGCTTATGTTCAGAGTGAATATTTGAAATGCATTCAGAAAAACAAGACATAGGACATCTTTAATATTTTCTAGGTAGCAAAAACCTGTAAAAGTGTCACATTAGTTACGAGCTTTTCTCTCTTTCTCTCCGTGCCTAACAATGTCTTGCCTTGTTTTACAGTGTCCACAGACGTGCATACTTGTACCTACCACCTCCACGTATGTTACATTTTCAACATCACTGACTTGCAGCTCAAAAAGAACGACTACCAAGTATCTGTTTGAGAAGAAACCGCCTTTAAGACAGCAAGACTGAATTAGTTTCACCACCGACACAGCGTTCGAGAGAAAAACTGCCCCAATAGACTGGAGGAAATAATCTGCTGCATCCTAGCTGGTGATGAGGCAGATATTCAAACGACAACATGTTTAAAAAACACAATATATAATTATGTAAACTCTTACCTGAAAACAGTCTGGAAAAATATCTCATATACATGAGGAACGCCTGAGACTGTTAAACGAGGTCTGGAGGATTTCCTCCATTCGCTCCTTGTAAACCATCGGAAACTAGGTTCATCTACGTCATCACTGCGCGTCACAACAACAGTAACGTGTGTTGGAGTGCAAGAAAAGACAAATGCGCATATTGCTAGTAGTTAGCTTAGCTTCTAGTTTAAGATAAATTATATGACAATTGTATGGAATTTAACAGTACTTGTGGAAGGTTGTTGGTTGCTTTAGCTGACCAACGCGTACTAATCTTCTAGTTCTGTGTGACTGTACTTTAGATCACAATCAAGCAGCACAGCCGGTATAGTCCTTGAAAGTTCAAATTACATACAGAGGTAGAAGCAGAGTTATTTTCATCTATATTGACTTCAACACAAAAGACAACACAATAAACTGGGGGAAACTACTTTAAAACATTTCGGATGATTCTTCACCAAAGGCCTGTCTGACCTGAATGCGCTGCTCGTGAGCTACGGTGGCTAACAAGTGTGCTGGTGAAATCAACGCTATTCTAGATCTAACAAAGTGATTAAGTAAACATGTTTGGTTCGTCGAGAGCCGGAGGAGTTCGCGGAGGCCAGGACGCATTCAACTGGGATGACGTGAAAGTAGATAAACACAGAGAAAATTATCTGGGTAAGTGGGAAAAAGTACGCTATCAGCGCTGACCAGATCTGTAGCGGATGCAGCAACTTGCTAACTCGAACAACCAAGACACATTGAAGTCTACAGTCCTTACCACAGAGTCAACAACTCAACCTTTTTACAATATAACTACATCTAATACGTGTATACGACAAAAATAAAACAACCACAAATTGCAGTTTTTATAAAGAACTTAAAAGTGCCGATATAGGTAATTGTACACTAACGCTCTTTGCTATTTGGGTTTAAATACCTTTGGAAGTAGATTCCCTCATTCTGGTGACCGGGTCTATTTTTGACCAATATTTATTTAATTTCTTTTGTGCACTGCACTCCGCAGGTCCTGTCGTTTACTGCCCAACACCGCCTCTCTATCTGCTGTGAACCACACACGTGTACTCTGTGGCCTTGAGCCCTCACTGCTGCCCGAAAGCGCACCTTAACACCGAATGCTATCGATTTATATTTATATTTTAGCTTTCTGCGGCTAACGTGGCTAAACATGCTTACAATTGGCTATTGTGGGATATTGGATTCTGTAATATTTGGTTATTTACTTATATATTTAAGTGACCATCAAATCAGTTATCCTGGATAATTTTAATTATTTTTTATTTATTAATCATTACCCAAATGTATTCATTTTCTATTTCACAAAGTAACTTTTTGAGTTTTTGCCTCTTATTTATTATTTGGCTGAAAATTTCACCTGGACCTTTTCAGTATTAAGGACTCTTAAAATGGAACTTCTAAATTGCAAATATTACCTAAAACATTTAGTTGGTAATGCAATAACAAAACATTTTCATCAAATTCCCTGTCAGAAAATCACAAGGCAAGTGTAACATTGATATTAAGCTTCAGTCGTGAAATTATTTCTGAACCACTCATTACCGTTTTGTTACCAGGTAACTCCTTGATGGCACCAGTTGGGCGGTGGCAAAAAGGGAAAGATCTTACTTGGTATGCCAGGGATAAAAAAGGTGGGGCGGCTACATCCAAAGCAGATGAACTTGCAGCAGTCAAGGCTGCAGAGCATGAGGCAATGATGGCTGCCCTGTATGTACACCTTAAACAAATACAGTATGTTAGAAGTACAAACACAAAGTCAGAACAACTGATGATTATTTCTTATTGATTTAGAGGACACAAGAACATAAAGAAACAACCAACCGGCTTGACAAGAGAAGTAAGTCTCACTGTTGTCATTTGCATCCAGTCAAATGCCCTGAAACACCTGGGGGTTGATAGAAATGACCAGATTGAAAAGAAACAATAATTTGTATTATAACAGGATCTTGTAGAAGTTTGCCGAAGGGAAGAGGCTGATGGCGAAGAGAGAAATGTGGACCGCATCTCAGGCTTGGGTAGCTCTAGGTAATTTTTTTTTATTTTTTAGGTATTTTACTTAAAAACAAAACATAGTTTTGTGACATTTGTTCCATGCAGACATTTTTCTGATTGTTTGTTTACACTCTAGTGAAGGGTCAAGGAGAATGCTACTGTCCCAAAAAGAGAAAGAGGTTGCCAAAATGGGTCTACCAGTTTTCACAGTAAGTTCTGTGCTATCGATATTTTTGTTTTTATTTTTCAAATTCAGGTACAATTAAGTTTAAAGAGTTTTTTTTTTTTTTTACAGCATTACAAAACGGAGGGACGTCCACAGCAAACTGCAAGAACAGACACAGCTGAAATTAAAGAAATAGAACAACGGTGTGTATGTTTGTCTCCAACTGTCCAAATGAACTTTAAGGACTGTTTAATCCCCCCCCCCTTTAACCATAGGGATGAGGGCAAAAAGAAAAAGAAGGAAAAAAAGAACAAAAAGGAGAAAAAGAAAAAAGAGAAGAAGAAGAAACGACAAAGAAGAGACTCGTCCTCTTCAGACTTGGATGACAATAGAAAGAAGTAAGTTCACTTGGGGTCCAAATGGTTTACTGCCAAGTACTGCCATGGATGTAAAACTATTTTGTTTTTCTTCCAAATCAATCTAAGTACTCCCATATACACATCCAACACCAACCTTTTTATATAAAAAACAAAACAAAACAACAACAGTGTAACACTCGTACTCTTAAAGATTCTGTATTGCAAAATGCAAATAACAAGAATTATTCCCTTTCACCACCAGAGGGCGTTAAGGTACTGTTCTTCCGCCCGGTGAATTAACTTTTTTAAAATTATTTAAACAGGTTGCCTAAGAATACAAAAATGTTTGCCAGAATCATGAATATAATTAAATACAAATGACAAATTCAGTATTAATATTTATGTCAAATAATATAACGCTGTGATTTAGAAAAGCCTGTGGTTTAAACAAATGACATATGTAAATGTGAAGGTTCAGATTACCCACATTAAAATTAAAAATGTGTCTGTGTATCTTCCTCGGCTAGTCCAAACTGTTATCTTAAGTTTTTGTTTCGTGGATATCAATGTAAGAACTGATCTGGCAGTATAGTGTTCCCCAAACCTCACACCTTTGGTCTCCTCCACCGTGCCACTCATTGATTATTTGTTTCCTTTTTCTCTTCAGGCACAGAAAAGACCACCATCATCATAATCCATCATACCATAGTCAGAGTGGAGCCAGACCCCATGACAGCCATTCAATAGGGGGAGTAAATGCCGAACGAGAGCCCCCTCACCCCTATCATCGACATCGGCGGCATGACTCCTCTGATGGGGAGTCCCCTGTCCCCCGCAACCCTGCAAGCCACAAGATGGCCCCTGCTGCTTTGACACAAAGCCACAGGCGGCGCCACGACACAGACTCGGACGACTAATGTCCCTCCCCCCAATTTAAACATAATATGAACAGAGCGCTCTACAGCAGCTCGACCAGCCCTGAAGACCTTATTTACCCTTCAGTCTAACAGAGCCAGGAGACAGGATGACAGGCCTGACAAACAGGCTTTGACCTTATGTTTAATTTTTTCACACCGTGATTTGGCCAGTTGGGCCCAGCACAGTGTTGGTCATTTAAACCTTCTTCATGATTTTAATAACTTTTTTGTTGTGTCATCAGATTGGGATTTTTGTCATTATTTCTTTGAACATTAAATTGTGCTATAACTGCTGCGACAGTTTTTTTTGTTTTTAGGAGGAATAAACATATTTTGTCACCAAACAAAGATCAACTGTTCTGTGGCAGCCTGAGTGAAAACCTTAATAAATTCAAAACAGAGTTAACACTGTTTCACATGATTGTGTTAAAGCATATAAGGAAGATAACCACTGATACACATGGATGAAAACTTCTCAGCGAAATTTAGCAGACAATTAAAATGCAGAGTATGCCGGGATCATTTCTTGTTTTTTCTATAAACAGTGCAGAAAGGGGAGAATCTTTAACCTGCAGGGCATAGCTAATCACTGTAATACCAGTTGGAGCTGCACTGACTTCATTATTAATTTCCTCACTAGATCAATGACACAGTTACCTGGAAATGTAACAGTCCACTTAATGCCTGTGATGGTCATGTATGTTGGGCAACAAGCTCCACGTATGCTAGGCCTACCCTCCTTTTCCCCATCATCACATTGTATTTTACAGCGAGTTTGCACACTTTCAGTTGCACTTCTGCCCACCCACTGGCCAAAAATCCTACTAGTTAACACTCAGAACTGTCTCTTGCACAGTTAAATACAAATAAATGACATCAACACAAATAACCAGCACTATACACTCTCTGTAGGTTTTTTTTCCAGTATTTTAAAATTATTTCTTTGTCACAATCACTTGTGGTATTGTAAAAACAAAGGACTTTTATTGGTAACCTCACATAAAATTAGGACTTAATTAACAATGCATCAAATATCCATTTGATGCTGATAGGACGACAATTCCCCTTCGGAATCAATTCTCCCACCACTGATCACTTTTTTTTTTCTTGACACTTTTTCATTCACAGTCAAGCCAGCACTCCATAATCCCTCACCGTTCTAGGTTGAGCTCACTGACTGGTGTGATACCATTGGAATGCTCTCCACTGGTCATAATAGTGTAGTGTTTGCATTTGCCTTGAATTGGTCTGAAAGAGGGTATTCTGCTGGCTGGCACCTGAGGGGGTGCACTAAAAAAGAGCAAGGCATTCATTAAGAAGAGTGCAAAAAAACAGGCTGGTCCTTTTATACGGCCGGGTACCATTAGACCGCCACACACAAACCAGGCTGATGGACCAGCAGGAGAGGAGACCAGACAAAGCCACCCTGTAAGGGACCTAAGACTCAGGCTCCCTCTCCTTCCACCACAACCGTACTCTCCTCCCATGTTTTATAGGCTTGGCTGCATTAACCACGGCAGCCTAATCAACCTGTAGGAATGCTGTCCCAGATTGTCTCCCTGACACAATGTGAACCAGGGTGTGCTCATATTACTGCTTTCACCTCGGTATTGGGCAGTTTCCACAACCTTGTGCCATCACATTTCTTCCTGGGTCAAAGTGCAATCACCTCCAGCAGTTTAGCAAGACTCTTCATCTACGTCGCCACACTACTAGTTTAACTGCTATTGGCTTTTTCTTATCAAGCATTAAATACAGATGCAGAGAAACCAAAGCTTTTTAACATAAAATGTTTAAAGGATGAACTGGTTATTAGCTCTGTCCCTAAAGCTTAAAACAAGTTTTCTGTTCTGGGTGAACAGCTCCAGCTGACTAGCACACAAAGTGATGGCCTACAGGCAGCTGTACAGCCCTCATTAAGAATGACCTTTTAATTCTACATTTGCTTGAAAAACATATTAATAAACATATATACACTCATACCAACCACAATATTTTGAATTCCTTCTCAGGTAAAAAATATGCAGTTAACATAATTCCATATTTCCTTATAATAATTTGATAATTACATTTTTCCTAGAGATAATAAAGGGGTTCTACATTATGTATCTTTACATTGATTAATTTTATTGTATGACGTGTAACAATGAAAATCAGGCTCAAATTCTTACTAATTTTTACAGTGCTTTCCTCCTCGCAAAACAAAAACCCTCATAAAAAAAAAAAAATCAACATTTCAAAATTTTAAAGAGGTTGCAGTTAAAATATACTAAATGCCACACAGAAAAATAAAATACAACCAACACCCAAGTGGAAAAAAAGCTTTAAAATAAAAAGGCAATGTGAGAAGTTGAGAGTTGAGTAAGAAGGCGCATGTAATGTCCACCGAGATAGCATTCCATAGAAAAAAACACAATGACAATTGAGTAATAACTCAACAGAAATTTTTTTTTGTATAGCCTGATTGACATTTTCCAGATCATGAATTAAAAAATGGACCATACATGCTTGAAGCATTAACAAAAACACAAGGGAGAATTGGGGTGGAGGGGGCGGTCATGTGTTACTCATTAGTTGGAAAATTTAGTAACTGTTAGCTGAGAAAATTATATTTGTCATAGTCATAAATATGCATGCCCTTTAAAACACACAATTCAGTGTTTCTCAGCACATACTGTATATTGCAGAGGCAGCATATGATCACCCTGAGAAATCAGAAATACAAAAACCCAACAGATCAGGACTACTGCCTTAAAAAAAAAAAAAAAAAAAAGAAGGGATATAAAGAGACAAGATTGTTGTAGCAAAGCTAAGTTCAAGCCATTTCTCTGTAAGACAAGGTCAGTAATTTCTTTACAGATGAAAATTTCTTAAGTGGGTAATAAAATTATGTCAGATACTGGTGCGCAAAATACCCCAGTAATGACTAAATGGCAACCTGTGAAGCTGGTGCATGTGGTTACTAGTTGTAGTAACTCTAGCAACTGCAATTAGTGCTTTACTTTACAAACATAATAGAAGTATTTCTTTGTGAATAGAACTGTACTTTAGAGTACATTTCACCACACAAGTCACCAGGTTGCATTTGAAAACTATGTATGAAGTTCTCATTCCTGCCTCCTTTTCATCTATTCAATGCACCCGTGGCTGCCCATCGACCAAAGAGGGGAAAAAACAAACAAACAAACAAACAAAAAAAAAACCCCAAACAACAGGATCCAAAATGGTGCATGAAGCCACACCACTGCCAAATCTATTTACAATTACATAAAATTAAACAAATTATGTGAATAGAACCCAACCACTGCTGCCCTGTTTGTGGTTATGACAACAGGAGAAAACAGCCTCCAGTGTGTATTTTGGACTAAGTAGCTCATTATTGCACCACCATAGGAGTATGCAAGTGTGGACAGAGACTGGTGGGGTAAATGAGTTTTGGATGGCAGTAATTAAGACTTCTTGAGTGTGTTCGATAACCAATCAAGTCCTTCATAAAGACCATCCCCAGAGGTGGCACAGGTTGCCTGGATGTACCACTTTTTGTTTCGCAGGTTGTGAAGCCCCAGCTTGTCTGTGAGTTCTGCAGCATTCATGGCATTTGGGAGATCCTTTGAACCACACAGGAAAAAAATCTTAAAATTATCATTCAAGATACAGCTTGATTAAATAAACATTTTGAGTGTTTAACCTGTTTGTTGGCCAGTACTAGTAGAACAGCGTCACGGAGCTCATCCTCTGCCAACATTCTGAGGAGTTCTTCTCTAGCCTCTGCACAACGCTCTCTGTCATTGCTGTCCACAACAAAGATGACTCCTTTAAAAAAAGCACAAAAGCTGTTATATAAAGACTTCCCAAACACATGTAATACACTATTAATATAAAGATAACGTGAAAATGAACAGTGTAATCTAGTGCTTACCCTGTGTGTTTTGGAAGTAATGACGCCACAATGGTCGAATTTTGTCTTGACCACCAACATCCCACACTGTAAAACTGATGTTCTTGTACTCTACAGTCTCTACATTAAAGCCTGAAAGATACGAAAGCTTTAGTCTCTCAAATGTCAACTAGATTTCTCGTTTTATATTCATAACATAAATATTATTGACCTTACCAAACATTATTGACCTTACCTATTGTGGGAATGGTGGTCACAATCTCTCCCAGTTTGAGCTTGTACAGAATCGTTGTCTTTCCAGCAGCATCTAGACCCACCATTAGGATTCGCATCTCCTTCCTTCCAAACCCGCTAAAAAGAGTTGCAAAAAAATTCCCCATGCTGAATGTAGATGGGAATTTCCTTTGGCAAAACTAACTCTGTTGAGAAACCAGAGAACAATTGTTAGGGTGAAAATTAATATGGAAGAAAGCAAGATGATACACAGTTACCCAGTTAAAGAATAAACACAAATAAGGAGGCCTTAACATTTTTCAGCTCAGAAAACAATGCTTTTAACTGCAAGTACAAAAAAGCTCGAGTATAGACCCTGGCTAATAAACTAAGGCTTTAAATGTTAATAACCATCTGTAAGAACGCTACTCTCTTACGTAACAGTGGCAACAAATTAACGAAATACCAGCTTACGTCACTGATTTTTAATAATTATAATTTGTTGAACTAAAAAACGTTTAGTCGTTCTCACGTAACGAGAAATGAGTGGTCGATCGCCAGTAATGCCCAATTACACCTGACTTCTTATGAAAGCTGGTAATCTCGTTGTAGCACTTTGAAATCGAGTGTACTACACAGGAGCGGTCCGATAATAAGCCACAGAAAACCCGTACATAAACGTATCTGCCTATAACTGATATGTCATGATAGTACAAAATAACTTTTTTCGTTTTAAACTCTAACTACATTTAAGCAGGGAACAATCAAACAAGGAAGTCAGTTACCAAAGTGGCTAATGCTAACGCGAAGAGCGGGTAGTTGACATCTTTCTCGCGGCGGGTTCCCGGGGGTTTTTTCAACGGTCTTCAACGGAAGTTTAAAACTTATACAGAGAATCTGACGAGACTATTTAACGTAAAGTTCTGACAAATTTCAGGTTATAGGTCTACACTCAAAACCTACCTTATCGTCGTAATTTTCTCCCTTGTTTAAGGCGTTTCCGTCTTCGGGAATGGCGACAGAATTTGACACGTCTTCTTCTGCCTCCTGCCCCCTTCTTCTTCTGCGTTTCCGGTAGACTGGATACTTTTTGGCACAACATCGCCGCCTCCTGGCAGGAAGATTGAGTAGTTGAATGTAAAATATAAATAACTAAAAATATCATTCGTGCAAACAGTCGCCTTAGACATTTTAATGTGAAGAACACAGCAGTTAAAAGCAGTTAGAAATTAAGTTTGCTTTAATTATCACATACATTCTACTACATCAATAAATCATTAGCCATTCCTAGGATATATTTAACATTTTAAATAAGATTATTAAGTAATGTCTACAATGCATTTGCAATACAAAGTTAATAAAATGTAATTCTGGCATCAGTATTTGTTGTTTAAGCAGTTGTTCATATATATGTGAATATTATAATATCTATTTGGAATAGAACACATCATATTTGACAGTAAAATGAAAATATACAGATTATTAAAAAACAAACAAAAACAAACAGTTTATAGCTGGCCAAATAATTAAGAGAATCAAAACGGCCCTTTTCTTTAGTCCTTATTTAAACCATAAATTGTTTTGCAATTATTTTTGCTTTACATCAGATCCAACAACCATGTTCTCATATGCTACTGGTAGCTCTATTGCTTAGAGCTTAGTAATATATAGTTTTGTCAATATTTAAAATGCATTTCAGTATATAAATGCATTTTATACCAATTAAGATTACATGAAAACACATTTTTGCTTAATGATTTACCACACTACTCTGAAAAGGGTGTGTGAAATTGAAAAACTTCTTCTGCAAATTCTGTGGGATTTTTTTTTTGGGTCACCACCTGTTTTTTGTTTTGTTTTTTTTTGCCTTGTCTGAGGACTTAAATTGAGTTCCTACTAATTCTTCTTTCAATTTTGGAAGGAAAACAATCCGACAAAAAACAAAAAAGTTTATAAAATGATAAAACTTAATCTATTTCTTTTTCTTTTTTTAAATCTGACACCATTTGTAATTATTACAGTGGTGATAGCGTTTTGGCTACCGTCATCTTTGAACTCTGAAGGCACAGGTGCAGGGGATACAACACAGAACTGTTTACTGAAACCTGTCACAATTATATTTTATTGCTTTTGCACTGCTTTGGAAAATCACCTGCACTCTGAGGTAATCCCCCTCATTGGGAAAGTTATACCTGCAGGCAGAGTCTGTGATCCTGGGGTGTTGACCAAGATGAGTATTTTCCAGTAATATGACACAAAAGAAATAATGGCACATTATATTTAATACAGGATATATCGCTAAGTGCAGATATTTTGACAGGATTTAGGCAAACCAAAGTACAGCAACGTACCATATGGTGAGATGATAGTACAGGTAGAGATCCAGGAGAAAGGGTTAAATCCCACTGAAACACAGCAGCGACATGAGTAACATCCAATGACGGCTCCTCTTACTTCTTTTCTGCTTCATATCTCACAAGATACTAACAGTTGTGACGTAAAGACAGAGGGGTTCCAAATGGGACAGTAGGGGGTGTTTATACACACACACACACACACACACACAAACAAAGAAAGATGCTGATGCCCATGGATATGAACAACTTTCTCCCTCACATGTTCATTCATACTCCCTCTTTTTCCCTCTTTCTCTCTCTTTCACTCTTTCTGCTCCTTTCCTATTCCTAACCTTATGCCCACATGTGTCATATGAGTGGACCTTCATGGTAATATTTGAGAATACACACTCTACTTCTGTAGACTGTATGGGAGGGTGTGTATTTCACATTACACACTGTGCATTTCGGAAGTTAAAGTGCCAGTTGTATCCACATTTAAGTTAATTTATGACACATGGGGAAGAGAGATGCTTCTCTGCACTTTGTGAATGGATGAAAGGGGGGAAGGGGAGTCAACATATGCAATAGAAACTGGGTTAGGGTCTCAGTGGGGTCTCACTCAGTTTCCCTTGAGACAAGACCCAGAAAAGATAAGAACATTAAAAAAAGTGGTTCAGGAATGCTGATCCGGTGTGTGTATATGTGAGTGTAGGGACAATTCACACTGCAGTACAAAGACACACACACACACACTGGTGTGCCTGTGCTTCACCTCAAATTAAAATGTATTTGAAACGTGGAGATATTTCTGATGGACAAAATAATATAAGATGTTTTTGTAGGAACCCACTGTGACATGTCCCCTGGGCATTTAGTAGACTGCTGTGTAATTCATACAAAAGAGCCAGGTTGGTATTAAGTAGTTTACGGCTTAGACGGACAGGCATGGTTTACCTCCCTCTGCGTCTCATGTACTGGATTATCAGTTGGGCATAATTCCAAATGAGGTGTGAAGCAAAAGAAAACAAAACAACAAAAAACAAACCGAACATTATTACAACAACCTTTGTCGTTGCCATGTGAGGATCCATGCTGGCTTCCTCCATTGGCACAACTGCCACTGGGCACTCTACCCCACGCCTTTCACAGTAGGGGGCGCCACAGAGAGAGACAAACTGGGGCAGGAGGATAAATATACACCAGTGTTGGCTGCCAGTCACCTTTGTGTGGCATTTGTTGGCAGTCTGAAAAGCGGATGAAGGGGATTTACATAACATTTGCACTCTGGCCTGGGTACATATGGAAATGTTTGACACCATATTGAGTCATTAATGTATCACAATTATTCTCTTGCACCTAACTGCCAAACCTAATGCATGTAAGGTATGAACCGTTTATGCAAAGTGTTTCTATATGTTTCTGTAAATTCTGTAAAAAAGAGTCTGATTGGTTGTAATGGGCTTTAAAGACACAGCAATGTTACGTGACATTACAGTGTCAAGTACAAAGGTATTTGTCTGACGGTACAACACTGCACTAGTCACATTTTACTGCACAGCAAACGGATCATGTTGCAGGGCACTTGCAGCTACATTTTCAGTACTTGTAACAGTTGAAACAAATTTACAGTACAAATAATAAAATGTCCAGAGAACAGGATTTTAGGAAAGTGGATTTCTTGTCGTGGAGTCATTGTGGAATTCCTCTGCACCAATCCAATAAATAATATTTAAAAGAGAAAAATGATGTCCTAGGGTGAACTAAAAAATTGACTCTTCAAAGGAAAACGCTAGCGTAGCTGAGAGTGTCAGTTTACACTGTCACCTTCATCTGCAGTTTTCTCTTTGATTCTCACTTCAAGCATCCACGGTCTGTGACGAGCCATCACACGATGAAACAATGATGAGGATGAAGCTATGTCTTTGAAAGACTTTTTGTTTCTCTCAATGGATCGGTTTGAAGCTTCTCCATGTTTGCTGTATATACAAGAGTATACAAGCGTTGTCCCGCCCCACCTCTCTGCCTTAATCCGACAATATCCCATCATTGGAGGCATCAAAGATATGACTGTGAACCTGCAGCACCTTGGGGTAGGTAATTGGTTGGAATGCACAGCAAGTCAAAGCAGGGTATTGAGGACAAACGGCATCAAAACTGGAATTGGCATCTTGGTGTTATTATATATATATATGTATATATATATATATATATATATAAAATAAACAGTCTCAACTGGTTTGTACGACTTTTACAGAAAACTTCAGGTAATCGATGCTTATGCTTCTGTGAGCATATTAAAAAGGTCACTTTAATGAACTAAATAATACAGTTTACTAAACATTGCTATTTTAAACCCCTCTGTGTGTGTTTGTATGGGTTGTGTGTGTGTGTGTGTGTGTACATTAGGTGTTCCTCAGCGCACCTGTCTGCCTCCAGGCTGCAAAAGCTACAGCCTCTCATTTCTGGCTGGCACTCGTGTGGTAATGTATTAGAGGGCTTGTCGTTGTGCTTTATTGAAGACCTCTGACAAGCTATTTGACACTCTGGACAGGGTCAAAGGTGTCAACCTCCCCTGACTGTCATGGAGATGAACACATAAGGGCACATGGCTGAATTAGCCGGCTCCACGAGTCAGTTGTGGGGGTTTTAGGCCCCAGGACATTGTGTTTGTTCTTCTGTTAGTGCAACCTGGACTTCAGTTGGATGCACCAAACGCAAACAACACATATGTACACCTGTAAACCCCAATTCCGATCATATTGTGGTTGTACGGATCAGACAGTGAATAAACTTGCATGAGAAAATAAGAGAACTGCATGTTTTGTGATGTTCCTCAAATCAACGTTTCAGTCATGGTCTGTAGTGGACAAATAAACATGACAAAAAAAAATAATAATAAGAGTTCAATTAAAAGGTTCAAATCCTTCTTAAGACCCTTCATCTTCTGAACTGAACTAGATCACATAGAATCGCCTTCCCCTTAAGCGTTGTTAGATGCAATTATCCATTTTCTATTCTGTCTCCTTTTTTATTTCAAATGGCAACTGATGTCTGGCTGTGTATCGTTGAAAATTTGGGCCTTAGGTAGAAGAAAAGGTAGTACTTTGAAGAAGGGAAGAGGAGCTCGACACAGCCAAGAATGTTGCAGATCTCTATAAGTCCCATAATGAGATGTTTTCTCTGCACGAAGCTTGTATTGACATTGAGACTAATGATTTCCACAAAGTAACAGATTGAGACAGTAATGCGCAGGGGTGGGAAAGACAACATAAAGTGATTTATGCTGTAAAGTCGCCAAGACCATCAGTGCCTCTCTGTGCACGGATTTGGGTTTAGGTTTGATGATATCAGCCCTCTGTGGACAGAGAAGCATTATGGTAGCTTTGCCATGTATTACCAAAATACAAATGTAAAAATTGCAAACACAACTAATCTCACACAAAACAGACCTTTATTCATTTAAGAGCAGCCTAGATGAATTATAAAGTCCTGAACTTTCCTGCCTTGAGACCTTCCAATTAGGGACTAATGCTCTCTGTATTAACCCTTCCCCCTGGCCTGACTTCAGTTTATTGAGGGAAGAGCAACAGGGTTGGGGTTGCCTCAATAAAAACAGCACTAAAAAGCAATTACAGTGCTGTGAAGAAAAGGACTTGTCAGTAATTTGCTGTCTAAAACTGAGGAGATTGCAGGTCTGGGGCCGATTGGAATTCCGAACCTGCAGTGCAGTGTGGGAAAACCAGTGGGAAGGCAAGCACCACCCTTTGTGAGGTAATTACTGGAACTACCAGAGGCCAGCGCCAGTCCCTGCTAATGATATCCCACTACTCTCCCCTGCCAGTCACCTTGTAACTGATAAACCCAGTGTCACTCACTGGGACAAGTCCAGAGTAATGTTTGGATGAGTTCAATCTCTGTTCTGTTGGAGTCCAGCTGCACTGCATTGAGTTGAAAAAACAAAACAAAAAACAACCAAAGAAAAAAAAAAAGAAAAAAACAAACAACCAAATACTTGACAAGAAACAAGATGCAAAAATGTGTAAATTGTGTCAGGTTGTAATATTGTCATAACGCATATATTTTATATGATATGTTAGAAATGACATATATTTGTCTACTTCATTATATTGCAGTTTATTAAAATCGAGTGTACTCACAATTCATCTCTAGGTCTCAGAGACAACATATGTAACGGCACATTCAACAGCCTCAAAACACTAATCAGCATTTAATGAATATGGTAAATTTAATTGGTTAATTTGTGTTTTAGCCAAGGCAAAATATATATTACCACACAAAGACAATAGTATTTGTATTCATGTGTTTTTAACTGTGTCAAGATCCAAATTAACATAACTTTTTTTTATGGAATATATTTTACTTTGATTTGTAAAATTGCAAATAAAATGTATTTATCTTTAACAAATCACTGCTTTTTAACCTCTCGTCTTTTTTGAGACGACAAAAGGAGACTAATGAGTGACCCTGTCTGCTTCCTCCTTTTTTACCCTCTTCAACCCTGGCTCACAATGATCCAGATGACCTTTTGTCAACCTCCAGGCTAGTTACCCCACCACCACCACCACCATTTACACGAGCAGCTCACCTGAACACACCAGGCTGCTCTGAAAAACCACGATAAACCCACCTCCCCCTTCTGAATAATTAAATGTGCATTCAGTCCATTTCTCTTGCTGCTCATTAACATAACGTGACTCGGCAGTCGACTGTGTCAGCGTCTTCTCTGCTTGATGAATGTTCTTCTGCGAGTTAAGACGCCAGAACATTCCTTTGTTCACTAAGCACAATGCACACAGACACTTCAAAAGAGGACAGGTGCCACATCTCTCCCGATGATGACTCTGCTCCTTAGAAAATCCAGGCATACAACCCATCGCCCTCCATTCATGGCAGGTGACATACTTCACACGTCGCCCTCCACGGCTACAAAAGAGAAAATGTACCACAGTCATTTATTCAAGGACTGAAAGGATTTCCTTTTTTATGTGGAAAAATAGTGCTATGCTTAGATACATGGCACATATTATTGAATCTCAATGAGGATTTTATTGGCTTAAGTGTCAGATTGTTGATAATCCTGTCACGGAGGCTCTGGTGTGTTCTGTTAAGTCTGACAAAGTGATCTAATTTCACACAGAACTGCACACAGCCATCAAAAGACTTGTCTTCAAAGTGGGTTACATCAGGAAATGCCCACTCACTGCATTCCCCTGTGTGGTTCAATCGCGGCCCATCACCTTTGCTGTGTACGACCTACAAACAAGAGCAGCTTTGAGACTGTGCGGAGAAGTTGCAGGCTGTTTGTACAGATGTGTGGTGTACGGCAGCAGCCGAGTCCACTCTGTCAAAGCCCTCTCGACGCTTGACTCTCAACATGTAATAAACACTGAAATTGAACATAGCTGGGGTTGAAATCTATCTTCGACTTTGCAACTTTATTAACTGTTTACCAACCGTTAACATATACTGAGGATTGACCCAACATCAAAAAGCCTCAGGAGAAGACAAAAACAAAGGTGTATATTGAGTGGCAGTTATTTGCCTCATGTCATTCGAGTGTGGGCTTTTGCACCATTCCACCGTATATACATCACTCCCTGCGTGCCACAACAACGTGGCTTTATTGAAATGCATGTAGGTGTCTCCTGTGAGAGTCAGGGTGAAACCAGGGACATAAAATACGAGGAGGACACTGATCGCAATTAGGCCTATTGTCTCCCATTTATATGGTTATTGGGTGGTGCCACTCGCGCTCTGGTGGTGTTAAAGTTCTCACAGTCAGGATGCCATCCCTCTCACTGGGGCTGCTGGAGTCTCCTCTGGCAACTATCTGCTAACAATGTCCATCTCACTTGGGTGACAAAGCTGCAAGGTGGGTCTGGTCAGAGGGAAGGGCCCATTTCCTTCAGGAGAAGGAGAGTGTCCCTGCAGGGCTGGAGTTTCTGTCCATCCTGTCATCTGTTTCATGTTTTGTACTTGTTTTTCTCCCATCTAGCTGGTGTGAAAAAGTGTCAGAGGTGAGGTGTGTAACGAGCCTCTGACAGTCTCAACAGTCACTAACCCACACATGAGTCTGGGCTGGGCTGGAATCTGCTCTAGAATTTATATTATGTTATAATCCTTGTTTTTTTTTTTTCAAAATAAAAAGTCTGGTTAACAGTGGCATAATCCGTGGCAGTCAAGGGAAAACCAGAGTCGCCTTTATGTCGCTTTATTTCGGTGTTAAAGAATTAACATCAGAGATGTCAGAGATCTACTACAGGCAGGTGGACACGTGATACCTGTGTGGAGTCAGTGGGGAAACAAACAGTAATGAGGTAAAAAAGTCTACAGTGTTACATGTCCAGACACTGTCGTAATGGAGCTTTTCTGCAAATATTTATATTTAATTTTACTGAGCTAATATGTACAGTGAATTAAATAAATAATTATAAAAACATCAAATTTTAGAAGCTCATGAAAATGCCAAAGAAAACAAAACTATTTTATACAAAACTTTGGATTTTTTTAAAAAAGAAGAAAAAAACAAAGGAATAAGGAAATGAACAAATCACATATACATGACCAGCATTAAACGGCACCTTGACGGGCTTTTTACTGGTACTGGGTTGATGTGTAGTCTATTGGGGATGTCAATCAAATATTCAGGAGGAGGCTCTTTTGTTTACACCCTGAAAAAAAAACCTGAATCTATATTTTATCTCTAGAGTTGAGGCCACAGTTTCAATGAAAAAGTTCTTCCCACACTTCAGTAGTTTTTGACTGTATGTATAAATAAATTAAAACTCAATTTTGTATTTCATCTCTGGGAGAAAACATAAAATATTTTCACCCTGACGTCTACAAAATCCAGACAACTAAAAATGAAAAATTCTACACTGGTCTATTTGGTTAAGTATGGATTACTGGATGTAAAAATGCTTAAACACTTCACATTTTTAAACTCTACACACACATATATATATACGTACATATATGTATATATATTTATAACAGTTTTCTTTCACAGAAAGAACCATGAGACAAACAAAGAAGGAAAGTTGACACAGAAACATTGTACATTGTATCAAACCTAAAGACAAATACACATTGTTTTTAGCAGCATTAAATCTGGGGAGTACTGATTGTTTCAGTGGTGCTGCTTCTTTATTCCTTAAAAAGCCACATATTTTGGTCATCTTGTTACTGCAACGTCAACTTCCACTGCATTAGTAAGGACTCGCTGCTTTGTTCATTGTCCTAAAATCATTTATGTTGATTTTTCTTTTTTAATTTTTGCCATAAAGAGGGCACGGAATTCACTTCTTTCTTAATGAAACAAAAAAAAAACCAAAAACAAAAAAAAACAAAAAAAACAAAAGGGTGTGTTACTCACGTACTGTAAATGAAAAAAACCCAAAACAAAACATGGGAATAACCCTTTCATAAATAACAGTTCCACCCCGCAACCAATCACAGGAGATAATACTGATAAAAACAAGAACATGCTTCATATTTCTCAAGGACACAAGTGCTGAGCTTTTCAGATTTGTTTACAGCTCTCTGACCCGACAGACTCACAAAGGTCTTTATCTTGTCTTTGGTCATTTAAAGCTTTGATTTGAGACAAAGCTCCAACCATTTTCAGGGTGTTCTAAGAAATGTGCTGACTTGGTGCTGTTTTTTTTTTTCCATTCCAAGGAACTTAGAAGACCCCAGGCACAGTCTACTAGGAGGTCTTTGAACCAACTATGTCTTTTGAAAACTTTAAAAAGTCTTCTTGTCTTTGCTGTATTTTTCAGACTACCTAAAACATGCCGTCAGTCTGCTTCAAGCTTGTTGTTGTGTTGTTAAATTCTCAAGCAAAAAACAAAAAAACAAAAACAAAAAACAAAACCAAGACTGTGGAATGGGATCTTGGAAGGGGAGGACCGGATCATTGCGCTGTTGCAGACTTCTGTATATAGTCTAAGATAGAATTTAAAGTAACCAGCTGCTGTTGGGGCCCAGTTCCAGCTCCGTGGCCTCAGGCTGTTCTCTGCCCTGTTGCAACTTCCCTGGATGTGGCTCAGGTCTACTCTCAGGTAAAGTTAGTCGTTTGTAGTTGTTAGCTTTAAATTCTGTGAACATGTAAACTCATTATAACACAATCACTACATTCACTCAGGTACAAGTGCATTCTTACCCCAGCTACGACCAAACTACCACACTTAACGCACGCAACAATGACGTTAGTTTTCAGATGTTCTGTACAAAGCCATGGTGTGAGGACAAAGACAAACGCACACTTTTGAACTTGTGACGCCGTCGCTTCGTCATTCAGGATTTTTCCTTTTCTTAAAAGACATTGTTAGTTGCTGTCGTAAACATCAGTAGTGCTGCACTGTTCTCAGGAAATGTTACTGATGAAATATCGCCTACCTGGAGCTCATCAGTTAGCTGAGAGATTTTTTCGTTCTTTTACCAGCAAACAGTGACGTTTTTGTTGCTGCCACAGTCATCAGCATCACACCACGATCACCACCGCCGCAGCGAGTGTGAGCATCTACTGAACTGTTCCTTGCGCATCACAGCAAAGAAACCCATGGTCATCATATCTGCTGTTGGAGTCCGTGGACAGGTCAGACATGTCTTATGGGAAATAACAGTGATGTAATATTGCAAAAAACAACGCTATTTACAGGTGTGAACGTCGTAGACTCTCATACATTCCTGACAGCTGACGTAGCAGCACCAGTGGAAGATACAGTGGCACTTCTCTTTCCTCTTCTCAGTTCGAGTGTTGTGGCCGCGTCCGCAGCACAGAAGGTCGCACCCGTCAATGCCGTGGGAAGTGAGGTTGCAGGAGCGATCTCGGGTCCCAAAAGAACCGGTCTCGGGATTGGGGTCACAGAAATTGGGCGAGTTTTCATAATAAACCAGGTCACGATCTGTGGGGGGTTTGAAGTAGTTGTACTTGGGTCTCAGGGTCTCCACCCATCCCCGGGACTCCCTGTGCTTCTCCACTACCATCTCAGAGGCACTGTCGTATTTATCCTTCATGTAGTCACCAATGACTCTGAAGTCAGGTTGGGACCACCAGCAGGTCTTGACTTCACAGCTGCCCGAAAGTCCGTGGCATTTACATTTGAGGAAGACGTTGTCGTTCAAGGACTAGGGAATAAAATATAAACTCAATCAAATATCTGTACTTTCGAAAGAAAACATTGTTAGAGGTTTTGTTAGTAAACTGACCATTCTTCCGGCCTCGTTGTTGTGGCGGTTCATGGCTGAGCGTGCGTCAGGTCGATTCTCTCTCGCGTCAGCAAACTCCCGCGACACCATGCTCCCAAACTCCACATCCTCACTGCAGCCGCCCCATTTCCACCCCTCTCCAGGGGGGCCCTTGTGGCGTGTGTCACAGCCGCAGATGGTGGCTGAACCTTCGGCACAGGCACGGGTCACCGCAAATGTCACTCCCGCTGAGGCAATGGCATGAACAAACGCCGACTCTCTGGTAGCTGGAAGGAAAAACACAAAAATCTGTTCAAAATACTGTACAGAGCTGATGTCGTAGTACATGGAATAGATGAAAATATCTCTGCAAAGGTCATAAAAAATGCACAAATGTTGCAGAATATTAAATTTGATTCAAATTTACACAAAGAACACACACTTTTAAGAACTTAAGTAAAGCACTCAGGCCTTTCAATAAGGCCACTCTCTGGGTGACCTCCATTTTCTTTGAATTAAACTTATATAATATTTTTAAATCATTTGGGTTTCATGGATATTACAAGTTAGGATTTGGAGGGTGGATTTTTTTTTTTTTTAACATTTTTGCTATATACAATTGGACAAATTCAACAGGTGGCAGCTGCACTGCAAGAAGGACAGTCAAACTCCCCTGTGTCCATATATAGTAGGAGGCCTGGCCTAGTCCTGGTTAAATATCCATAAATAAAGTTCCAAAAATAGATATATTTTTTTTTTGAATGAGCATCATAGTATTTACACAACTCTATAACCACCCTTTAGACTTACAGAGACTGCTTTAACTGAACTGAACTGTGCAGCAACACTTGAATCTGTTGATAATGGAAAAAGCCTCTGTAATCTTTGGGAGGTAGAACCTGGCAGAAGGACATGTCTCCACAGTAGCATTGTGGTTTCTATTGCAACATCTACAGGCTTAAGGGACGTATTCAGCAATTAAAAAAAAAAGATTTTTCTAAACTATCTAAATCTTAACACAAAAAAAACCTTCATAAATAGTAGAATAAGTAACAGGCTCAAAATATGTTAAAATTAAAAAATATATTTTTGAAAAGACCAAGCCTTTGGTCAATGCTCCTTTTACATACATACATATATATATATTTATATATATATATATGTATATATACCTGAGCAGTTTGTATATTTGCTTGGAGATGTACAAGACACCAAGCCTATGTATACAACCATTTAGTATTTGTTGAAGCAGAATGTGTGAAGAATCAATCTACTGAGGTGCATCAGCTCAGTTTAGAGTCCAGCCATACATCAGTTGTCCTGTCTGAGGAGAAGAACAGAAAGACCTCGGTGTCTGTGGCTGACATAGCTGCGTGATGACTCAGAGGGATCAAGATCTTCCAGAGAGATGAGAGGAAGAGACGGGCCTGACAGGCCTATAATTAAGAGACTCAATTAAGCTTTTGAAAGGTTAGGAAATGGCCTCACACTCGGGGGGGTTATACACATAATACTGGGACGGAACAGTGTTGTCCAGATAGGCAGAGCCAAACCAGTGACGCAGAAGAAAAAAAAAGGCCAAGCTCCAGATCACTGTAGTGAGACGGTTACTCTGTCAGGGTAGTCAGGAAAATGGAAACATCAGGCGTAAACACAAACTAATAATTCTTATGCAGGAGTCTGAAAGTAATAAAACAGAGGAGGTTAAACATCTTTAGTGTTTCTTCGTCTTCTTTGAGTCATGAATGTTAAACAGTGGAAGGAAAAGAAAAGAGAAGAATGAAGCTGAAGGGAGCAGGAACACCTCCCTCGCAGCAGGTTACAACGAGTTTAAGGACTAAAGGGCATTAGAAACAATGATGCAGAAGAAACAGTCGACTGGCATCGTACTCATACCACTTAGTACTACTACATGTATACACACTAGATTATCACAGTGTACGCTGATACATTCAGAAACCTCAACTCTTCTTTTTATCTCAAACTGATACTTTGCTCTTCCCTCGGACGATTCAACGCCGATGTTTCCCTCTGACTTTTATGACAATGAAGATTATTAAAATCACTGGGAATCATCCGAAACAGCCCAAGTTTGAACTTGTTATGATGTGTGTTCTGTTTGTAATTGTTGCACACACAGAGTTACTCCCAAAGCAGCAGGAAAAGGTACCAAAATATACAGAGGCATTCCCTTTTTTGTAGTATCTTTAAACCTTTTAAAATATTTTGATGCATATTTTATACAAGAACAGACTTCATTTTTTTTAAATAAAATATAGATATAATTACATATTTGATTTTTAGCCAGCAGTGTTACTCAATGGAGGATTTTATCTTGTTTTTCACCAGACAACTGGTAGGTTTTTAATGGGAAGAACATGTATATATATTTTTAAGTCAAATGTATGGGTAGATGTAAAAAGGGGTTTGTCGCTAAACTCTACATGTTTAGCTAGAGGAACAAGGATGTTGGTGTGATTGAATGAGAAAAAAAAGTAAGAAAATACTGACATGATTCTTATGGATTGTCGTCCCTCTGACGTTTTAGTCTGAGACCTCCAGCATTCACTTCACCTGGAAACACCAGCTCTTTCACAGTTCCACTCATTTACTTGGTTTTACGACCAATTTATGGTATTTAGGGACACTTGCCCTCCAACAATACTTCTCCACCAAACTTCACCACATCCTGGCAGGACAAGCGGTCCCTGGAACCTGCTGGGGGGTTCAATCCCCTATTGTGCAGCCACTGTCACGCTGTGTTAGCCCAACAATGGCTGCAGATATTTTATATGAAATTTGCCCTGGCCAGTGATTAGTGGAGACCAAGTTAAGTCATAGCAACAGAGAACTATGCATTGCCCGGACCCCGCTTCTCTGCAGACGGGGAAATCCCTATTCAAATGGTTTAATAAAACAATCTAAAGGGCGTGTGAATGGGGAAAAGCACTTTTTCTCCTGCTTAATCTCATGGTTGCGAAGATATTGTGCTGCGAGCAGTGCCCAGCAGGGAGTGGGGCTAAGGTCCCCCCATCAACTCCATTTACCATACCCCTTCTTTCTCTCTTGCCCAGAGTTAATGATAAACAGGAGCGCCAGTTTCCCTCCCCCAGCATGAAGAGACATATGTCTCGTGAAAAGCAGAGAGCCTTTAGCTCATCCTAAGTAGTAACACTTTCTCATCCTCAGGTCACAGGTCGTAACCCGCGTGCCCTTCCTCCAGTTAGTGTAGATCAAACCTGATTTAAATCATCCTTTTTTCATCAAACCTAAAAACGGTTCTGTCCACCGGCTTTACACATTACATAATAATAATGTAACTTGACTTTTATTTAAACTTTATGGTTCCAAGTGGCATAATAATAATGCATGTGTCTACCTGTTTGGGAGGGAACACCTGTGGAGCACGGGCTCTCCGCTTTTTATAGAAATGTTTATCTTAATAATTCTATCAGATGACTCACAAACAGAAGACTGATTACACTGCTGCTCTGTAAATACCACGAATGCCGAAACAGTCCTGGGATTGGCTGCGTGGACGGTGAACATCTGTGCAGATTTTCACCTTTCATCACAGGCAGATTCCAGCAGAGCATGTTTTGACACTTTTAGTTAATGTCAATTAATGAGTGCTGACGCAGACGTAGCCTCGGGGCAGGGCTAGTGATCCGAGGTGTGGAGTGAGGGCGAGGGGATCGCAAAATATGCGAGGGAAAAGAAAAGGCACGTCCAAATTTAAAAAGAAGAGTATACTCATGTGCACTGGGTTGTATAAACTATAAACCACTTTCACATGTTGTGGCGATGTTGTTTTCTCTCTTTTCCACTATTTATGTTAATGACATAGTTCTTCCCCTTTAATGTCCCTGTATGTTATTCTTTAAAGGCTTAGATGAGGACAGGTCAGGTGTCTACAACAGGGTAATGCCCTTGGGCAACCAGGGATGTCCAACACTTTTGGATTTCAACACTTTTATGCATTTTAAGTTTCATTATATAACGAGCAATAATTAGGAAACTCAAAACGTGCAAAATGGCAATGGCCTTTTTTTTTTTTACAAATTAGATAATATACAAAACAAAATGCTTGCGTAACACAAAGCTAAATTACCATTAGCCTAAAAAGTAATGCAAATAATTTCTAAAGGGGAAGTTTTTTTTTTTTTTTAATTTAGTTTTCAACCTTGTTAAGGGGTCAAACAAAATGACTGCCCAAGTACTGTGACAGGACCCCGGGCCTACCTTTGAACATGCCTGGGCTAATGGATAACAGCTAAGCTGCTGATCTCAATAAAAGCAACTACTTTCTCTTTTAGCTCTGTTTGACAAAAGCAAGGAGGAAACAGACACACAACAGCCTGAATCACAGACAAACAGACACCAGCGAGGACAATGGCACTGTTGCACAGATAAACACCAGCATCAATCAAATCCACTGAAATGGAAGCCCTCTCCTACTAAACCCTATCAAAGGCCTATAAGCCCTTAAGCCACTCTGTTTGGCCCCTGACAAAGGCACTTAATCCCGCCACTTTGACCCGTCACATTATTAAGGGCCTCAGTGACCTTAATCCAATCAAAATGATTTACTAAAGCCCGGTAGCTGCCTCCTCTTCCTCTGAGTACCCCTGCAACTTAGACCTGGGGCGGGAGGCAACGGGTGTGATGTGGTGGCATTTTGTATCACAAAAGCACTTGGATGGAGAACCCCTACCTTTAGCCACCTAGCTTCTCCTATTAACTGAGCCCAGAGTTTATTAAAAGTAATTGCCCCAGCTAACCTTCACCACCCTGTGCTAACGTCAGTCTTCTGCTGAGTAGGTGACAGGTTCCGATTCCTTCACCGTTGTCCTCTGAACTTAGAAGACGTGTTTCTCATTTACATGTAAACCAGTGGGGAAAAAAACGCTCTAAAAGAGTAAAATAAAATCTGTGATTAGATGCACATTTGGCACAATGACAAAGAACAAGATCTTTCCAGCTTAATCAGAAATGTAGACATGTTGTGACGCAGCTTAGTTTTTCACTGAGTCACAGTGAATTACAGTTTATGAAATACACTCTATAGACAGTAATTTTTATTGTGTCAGTTTTGTGGATTGAGTTGTGAAGCGTACACTGCTGTCTCCTGGTCTACAGGCAGGTCAGTCAATCAACACAGAAGGTTCTATGTCCGTGAAGCCCATATAATTCCATTTATTCATTTACTTATATGTTTGTGCATAAAAGAAACGTCTCTTGTTGTCTTCATAATAAAGTTAAAACTTTTTTTTACCAACTTTTCAGGAAACTATTATTTAATTTATAATTGAATATAAGAAAACCTTGATTTTGTTTGTTTATATTTATATCTGGTAAATTCCCATCAGGTTATAATATGCTTACATTATAGGTACACAGGTATACATTATCATGTTTTACGCATCATTAACTATTGAAAAGATTAAAACTGTATTTGTTAAACTCTGCCACTTTGTTCAAAATCTTGTAGTGAACGGTGCTCAGAGGGGAAAGTACACATCAGAGGGGATTTCCTCCTGGAGAAAACTCTGACAAGACAGAACTCACTTATCTTAATTGAGTGCATTATTTCTGCATACAGCTCACTTCACTCCTAAGTCTATTTGAACAAGGTTTTGAGTGGGTATAATAGATGATATACAAGGGGAATGCTGGCTTGTTTATGGTTAGCTAGAACAATTACAAATGCCATGGTAACGGCAATGGTGACAAATTACAGTACTAGATTTTCTTTCAGATAAGTGGGGGATTTAAAGAGCCTAACGCACTGTCAGAAGTCTGAATTATGTCAGAAAAGGCAGGATATTCCCCCCCCCACTGTGTAACGTTACCTTTGTCTAGCACAGGTCCAAAAATGGCCAGATCATTGACTGTGGTGCAGTTCCAGCGTCGACCTCTGAACTGGTGCTGACACTCCTGGATGCCAATCTTTACACCTTCAGCCACGCTCGGCATGATTTCCACGTAGTTACGGCAAAATCGCAGCTGTTTGGGCACCAGACCGGGGATACTTCCACAGAGAATAGGCTGAGTGCCCAGTGATGAGTACTGCTGGCCCACAGCCAGTGACCTAAAGGAGAAGGGAAGTCACAATTAGTCCAAGTGTGTGCCGATCTATTGATTAACGACTAAGTACACGCTGTTACAGATACCTATTTATTAAAATCTCAACATAATGAAGTATCTCAATGCCATTAGTAAATAATTGTATCTGGACAATCCTATTAACGGTCAGGGTCTGGTGTGAAGTCTGATGAAGGGCAGGGTAATTTCATGTTTGTATGCTGCTGTTTATATGCTGTATCCGATGCTACCATTAGGGGTCCAGGTTTTATCCCCTCAACTACCCTCTCTGCAGACACCTGGCCTTTGTGTGCACTGAAATTGCAGCCCTGGTGTCAAAGACGCAGGCAGTGTCTTTGTCTGAGATGAAAGTCAACAATGCATCTACAGCTCCTCATAGAACTGAAGTTGACAACTTGGAAAACTACACCTTGTTATTAGCTGTCCGCATACTTAACAGGCCTTCAGCTTAGGTTAATAAGAGTGCAAACGCTACGCCGAAACTTCAGAGAGTGTATTAAGTGTAACACTGAACCCCTCCGAATCCCCCCACCCCCGCCCTCGTTTCCTTTGAGGAAGGTATTCAGAGATACAACAAGTGCAAACTTGGTTCACTGATTACATCTTTGTGTCTCACTCCTCGTACTGCTTTCTCTTTGCCTTTCCGTCTGAATTTTGCTGTATTGTCTCAATTAGGAACATCAGTACTTGCAAATCCTGCATACTGAAATTGACCTGTATTTTACGCAGCATCGTAAATTCAACACATCGTATTTCACGTTTGTTGGATAGACCTCTACCTACCAGTCTGCCTGTGTTCCCACCACCTGCCTAACTGCTTATCTACCACTCCTTTGACTCCTTGATTACCTACATTTGGACTTCTTGATACGTACCTTTTGACTCCTTGATCATTTAATAGTACCATTCCTGTTATTATCTTTGGCAAATGCTGCGCAGCGTGGATACAAAGAAGCTTTTTTGGCAGTTCAGGCTCGTCCTCTGTTCACATCCACCGTCTGGTTAATAACAAACGCTGGCAGCAAGCGTCTGGTGCTCCTGCCGAGTCAAGTCTGCCCAGTAGCAGCTACAATTTGCACACAGTCAGAGGCAACAGGTGTGCAGTGGCTTTAGCGGGCTATCAGTTGACCTAACTGTTGTTCATGGACTAATCACTGATCACAACAAGATTACCCACACTCCAAACACTGGCCTCAGGCTGCCTTTTTAAAACCTTTCAGCCCAAGTAAAGAACTTTTGAACGTAACGACCCCTGATGGCTGGTGGCAGCGGATGTATCCAGCGAGCTGACCTCCAGCTCCTGGATTATTTACCCAAACCTCTAATTATTCAGATCACACTTATTATATCCTCAAGCTAATGTGTCAGACTGCTTTCAGCGGAATTTCTCGACTAATTTCTGCACACGAGACCACACTAGTTAATCATAAGTGAGACATCCAGTGAGCAAGCAATGGCAAGTTGAAAATGACTCCAGAGGAAATCACGTTAGTCTGTAGTTTGTCTCCAGCGTCCATCAGTGAACACGAGGAACTCCTGCTAAAAACTGACCTCCGTTTGGCCCTGAAGAGCATCACTGCCAGAAATAGAAAAACGAGGACATCTAAAACTGATAAAGAATACGTTGGCTCCTCATGTTGAACTAAAAATGTATAAAACCCATTCATCTGTCGAGAAAGGTTTTTGCACTGAATAGAATAGAACAGACTTTATTTTCATTGGTTAATGGTTGAAATTACTCTGAATGATAGAAAACCAAATTGCACATTTAATTCTATACTATAATGAATTTACAAAACTGAAATCACGGTCTCTTCAGACAGACCTAAAACTTTTGACCTTTAAAACCCAGGGGTCATCAGACTTGTAGGCCTTCAACAAACCTTTGCACACGGTCGTTTTTAACATGTCTAAAACTCTACTCAGCAGTAGTTCCACACCTGTGAGGATGTTGTGGCACACTTTGCTGGGGTTATTCCACAGCATTGTTACACAAACTCCCCATGAGTCAGTGTGTGGAGGTTGCTTCACTCATACGAGACTCGGAGTCTGTCTCAGTGTGACTGAGTAATCCGTGCTACACATCTTCCTGTGTTAGGAAAGAGCCGTGCATGGAGGCCAGGCAGGGCACGGTCCTGCAGGATTGATCTCATTTTAAGGATCCACAGCCTTCAGTTTAACATATTTAAAAATATGTCTAAAAATATTTGATACAAAGATGCAAAAAACCAAATTATATCACCTTCATTCTGCCTTAGCACTGACTTTCCCTGTTCATCTGAGTGTATCCAGTGCAGGTTTAATACATATTTCAGCAAGCCCAAGCAGTGAACCTTAGAATTACCACTTTACTTGTAGGCCCTGGGGCCTTGGAGTCGACTTTGACATCAAGAGAGTATGTTTGGAAAAAGGAATGTGCGGCAAGCTTTCACCTCCAGGTATTTATCTCCTAAGGTGGGGTGGACTAGGGAAGGAGGTGGCGGGGTGGTGTCTGCAGCCAGGCTATGTCATGGCAGGTCTAAAAAGAGACAGACATGAACCTGTCTCAGAGTAGCTCTGTACCCCCACCGATTAGTGTGACACACAGCTTAGGCGCGATGCTGCTCCAGTGGCCACTTGAAGCCAAGTTCGGCAGCCTCTGTCAGGGGCAATTGCTCTTGGATGGCAGACACGCTGTTTGCAAACGGAGCAACAATGGAGGGGCATTGAGAGCAATCCAGAAGGAACCATGTTATTTACCTTGGGATGAGTTGCCATGAAACAAAAAAAAAAAAACATCAGCAGTTCATCTTATATCTGTCATGTTAATTTGCCCCTTCGTTGCCTCTGCTGTTCGATCAGTGACCTGATCCGGCTGCCAAAATCAAAGCAGACAGCCACACAGAGGTGAGCTGTTGACTTGCTGCAGGGTGGAACCATGCCTTCTATTGTGTCATTCATAACTGACTGCAATCAAGAAGAAAATGAAGAAACGTCCTTTGACAAGTGCACGGCCTGTGAGAATGAAGTCTTTATGAAGTGATGTACGTGAGACGTCAACACCCTGACTCTGAAAACTAGGAGGTTTTTTTTTTCTTTTCGTATTTATCCAAGGGCCCTGCTGTTTCATCAGCATTTCCTTCCAGCTGAGCATGTCATTAGTTTCAAATCAGTAATAGCACCAGGGGATCCGTTTAGAGGACCCAAAATTTAGGATGTGAATTTCGCCAAATAAACTTTTTCAAACCTTCACCAACAGTTTGTTCAGTTAGAGTGAAAACATGTGAATATTACAGATATTTCAACATCACAGAAATTATAATCCCAGAAGACAATGAGTAAAATATTAATTTAGCCTTGAGTTGAACTTAATTTTATAACATAACATATAACAACATATTCATAAACTACTTTATGCACCTGCTGCATTAAATGATTTATAATTTTAAAAGTAATTCAATAAAAATAAATTATTTTAAATCACACCAATCCTTCAGAAACAGGATTAAAAGTATATTAAATATAATTTAATTTTTTTCTGTACTTCATAAAACTTTGTTGTTACCTCATACAGACACTGTTGACGCTTTGCCCTAATGACAGTGAATCAGATCCACGCACCTAAATGCACCGCTGCTGTCACGCACCAAATCATAACCACCCCCTCCACACACACACACACACACGCACACACTCACACTCACACCTTTCCACGGTTAAAACAAAACACCCCAAAAACATTTGACTGGCATTTGATAAAATAATAATAATAAACAAAACACTCACCACCAGATGGGATAACTCGCCGTGACATGCGTCAGAGAAGCGCACAGCAGCAGGAAACATCCCAGGTATATCATCCTTAAAGTTCCGCAAAACATCTCCGGCAGAATGCCTTCATGCGCGCTCATAGGCGCGCACTGGGGTTTGCAGTGAAGAGTCACAAAACAAGGACAAACAAGAAAAAGGCAACAAGGGAGAGAGAGAGAGAGAGAGAAAGAGAGAGAAAGGGAGAGAGAGAGAAGGGGGGAAAAAAAGTACCGATTTCTGCACTGACTGATTTTTATTCCTATATCTCTGTGTCGCGTCTGGCCGTGGCAGAAGTGTGGAGCCAAATATTAAAAAAAAAAAAAAAAAAGGCTAAAAGCTGCTGCTCCAATCAGCAGGTATTGCCACAGGGGGAATTCTGATGATATGTTCCCTCTGATGCCTCGTCTGGCAGTTTGAAGTCAGACAATTTAAACGTGATGTGTTTTAGTGCTCATTGAGGATCCATGCGCATTAGCATGCAGTGTGTGTGTGATATATAATGTTGTTTAAAGGAGAGCAGAGGGAGGGTCCCAGAGCTTTTAAATAGACATCGGAACCCCTGTGGATTGCGTAGCTATAACAACCTGTCCGGATTTCACTCCCTGGCTTGAAGCTTCTAAAATGCAGAAATAAATATGTGTGAATTGCCCGAGACTATTATTAGAGTCTGTGGCGCTTTATTCGCCCCGTGTTTGGAGAGTTTTCCTTCGTTTTTAGATAACAGGGTTTCTGTGAGAAAACCCACGACAAATCTCACTCATATTTATTTTTTTTAATTAGTACTTACAAATTGGACGAATTGCTTTTCTTCCTACGAGACGCTTTTATTTTGCATTCGGAGTAAATATATATAAAGGGAGATGTAGTTATTGACTTCATTTTCTAATTTATTTTTAATTATAATGATTTAATCTCTGTGTTTGTCACTCACCTGCTGCAGTGATTTAGACTTTGGTAACACAGTCTGACTCCTCATCACAGCCACAGTATCCGTTCATACTGACTGCACCACTGGGTTTAAATGACAGACTGACGGTTTCTCCTCGTCAATGTCAAGTGGCTGTTGATAGGAACTGGTCCACAAAACATCCTCACCAAAGAAAAACCTGACTTACGAATAGAGTTGGTATGTGAAAAACAATTCAGTTTATTTTTTCATTTTTTTTCATTTTATAAAACCTTTGTGACGAGGTATTCATTTTATATATATTTAAAATCGCTCTAATAGTATGATATAATTTACTGCATTTACTTTAACCACTATCTCCATATAAAAACACTTTTTTATGTATAGCTTCGTTCTGCAGAAATCGAAAAGTGGGATATTTTTTGACATATATTTTTAAACAAATCGCATTTATTTTTATACATTTATAAAATAATAATAAAAAAGAGAATCGTACTATTTTATTTCATAAATAGCGAAACAATGATCCGTCTGCGAACAAATAATTATAAACGTGATTTATGTGATACAATCTATTTTAAAATTATGGATAATGGATGTGATTGTAGAGTGTAAAAAATGAAAAAAAAAATTTCTGAAATAGAGAAAATAGTAGCGGGCAATTCTAACATCCATTTTAACGTTAGAAATATATGAAGTGTATAAACCACACTGTAATGCATATCATTTTAAATAAGGAGGTTTTTTTTTTTGGTCTAAATAGTTTTTTCTTTCTTTCTTCGTTATTTTAAACGTCTTTGAACCTGTGCTACTCACCGTCATCGAATTTCCAGAATGTGATGATTGCGCCACTGCGAAGAGTACAAGTCCCACAGGCCCTGAAGGCAACACAAAAGCAAAAGGTTACTACCATCTAGCGGACCTTTTTGTGTACCGTATATTTCGCAGCAATCTCGCACCTGCTATCTACTGTAAGTAAGTACTCTCTCTCTCTCTCTCTCTCTCTCTCTATATATATATATATAGTGCTTTTCTGGGTAATAATTTCCTTCTTCTCATCTTAGAAGATTTTTTTTCAGTTATAACTGATTGTTGGAAAAGAACTTGACATTTTACTTCAAATTAATTATTTCTTAAAATTACATTTTTTAAGATTAAACATATTAATTACAATTAAAGGATGAACATTTACAACAGGGCACTTCAATTAGCTGTCCATAAAAGTAAAGCAGCAGATTTTAGAATTAAAAAAAAAATTTTTTTACAAGAGGTGATTCATTTATTCACTGAACCCATTACATGTGACAACTGTGCCTCTGAGGTCCATCTATTCATGTTTTCCCACTGAGCCAACAGGAAACTGGGGGACATGTGTGCCCACAGTGACCTCATGGGATGACGTCACCTGGGACGTGCGATTCATTCACGGACCCTTGACCACCACCATGAGCCCCAGTTGACAAAACACAGCGACAGCAGCGTCACGCCACACAAATATTATCCTAATCAGATTTTTCATGACGTCATTACATTTTCCTGTCTCATTCTGTGGGATACATGAACCAGCTGCTCAATTAACACTTCCACCTTGTGCATGAACACAAAAGTGTCACTAGATGGCAGCATTGTCGTAAAATCGCGATACAGAGTAATTCGATAATCACAAATGTTAAAATAAAAACAATAACACCAAAACTAATGCTGATACTGAGACAAACTAATAGGTGCAATGTCGTAGCATAGTTGTGGGAATCTGCAGCTATTGGTTACTCCATTCTCTCTTTGCTCTGTTGTCTCTGTAAATGCTCTGCTTACACAGAAAAAAAGGATATTTGGAAGAAATAAATTAAAAATAAATTAACCTTAAACATGATCAAATAAAGACGGCATGTCTTTATTTGATCAATGTGCAACCATTCAAAATATCAGAAGATGGAGCAGCGAGACAGGAGAAAAAAAGAAGGCAAAACAGACTGATCAAAAAGTGATAAACGGTAAAACAGTGACGCAGGACCTGCTGTGGTGACCCAGCAGATCAGGATGTTTGAGAGATTAGGTTTTATTTTAACTCCACAAATGTTTTCAATTCGTGTTGTATATTTGTAAAGTCTGATCCCGACTACAGCTGAGAGTGTGATGAGAATCTGTTTCACTTTCCTTAGAGAGACTCAGATTATTGTGTTTGTCCTGAGGTCACACATGTTGCCAGCAGGACGAAGCCAGAAAACAACCAAAAAAACCAAAAAACAAAACAAAAACAACCTTGCAGCTTTAATTACAGCAGCATCATCCTTGTACGTCACATCAGGATGCAATGTTTTCTATCAACTGCTGAGACACTGACAAAGTCCCCACCTCTCCACTTCCTTCTGTCTCCTCTTCTCCTGCTCTTTCCCCCCCGTGCGGACACGGACCTCGGGGTCATCCCAGGCCACGATCAGCTGAGGCTGCACTGGCTGCAGCTGCTCAAAACTGGACTCTGTTTGGACTTTGTTTCATTAACGCTAAGCAAAGCAGATCATATCATTCCGTCAACACCACCTGTTGGTCGGGAGCGTGACCTACTCACAATGCACCTACTATATCTTCTGTATGTGTAAAACAACCTGTACGTTCCTGGCACTGGTTCATCACGTGTCACTGCTTTCAACAGTTGAGACCGTGCTGTCGACCAGCGGCGCTCCTAAAGAATGCAATGTATCGTGAAGTTGCTTTATTTTACCATGGATGCTGCACGTTACTGTGAGTTTGTATCAAAAATAAATCTATATTAATTCGTATACGTTTGGCCAGCGATCTCAGGTCATTTTTTGGAGAACCAACATTTTCACCTTTCTTGCAACTGAAAGGATTTCAGGTTTCTCCTGCAGCCAGAGCAGCAGCAGCTGCTTATATGTGCTTACTTTAAGAACAGAGGACAGACAAGTCACCACAGGCTCACAGGCAATTTGGCTCAAACACTTCACTAGAAAATGTGCGAGGACCAAACGTCACATGCCACAAATGAAGCGGTGGGATTAGGTTCCACCAGGATTGTTTTTTACTGTTTATTGTAGGAGCTTCTCTCTCCTTGTCAGTGCTGCCTCCGTTTTCCATGTCAATAATTCAAATTCAATTTCCTTTTTCTAATTGTTTTATTCTATCACATCTCTGAATTTTACTTTTTTGCTGGCCATTATTTTTTTTTTGTCTTAAAGATGCAGTCAGACTCAGAGGAGCGGTTGCTCGTAGTGAGATTACAAAAACAACAGCTACCTCTCCAGCCCTTGAAGACAGATTTTTCCTGAGAAGCGGTGCACCCTGACGCCTGAAACAGCAGAGTGGCGCAGACGCACCGTCAGCCTCCAAACCCAAGCCGCAAATTATGTCTGGTACATGGAAAAGATCATGTGGCCCTGCAGCAGAGTAGGGGTGATGAGAACGAGGAGTTTGGTGGTAACTCGGTTGGGATTGGACGGATACGATTTACATTCCTCTCCAGGGATGTGATATCGAGACAAGGTCAGACCAAGGCTAATACAGGAGGCTGTGTACGAGGATGAAGCTAATAGTCGGTCTTTAGTCAAAATGGTCCATTTTGCTCAAACTAAAAATACAAAAATCATTTTTGTGGGAAAATTGTAATAAAGTATTATCTCTCCTATGTTAAATTAGTATCTTTGTGGATTTCTCCTTCACAGAGTTATTTTAAAATGCATTAAAGAAGATTGCCTCTACATTTTTTTCATTGCGTTCCACATCATCTGAAGAGTCGGTGCCCAGCGGATCATAAATGGAACTGAAAGAAATCTGAAGCGAGTATCCCAGTCCCACATGACAGTGATGCAAAGTTGACAATCTCTGAAAGGTGACCTTCGTACAGACGCCTGATATGTCCCGTGTTTATCCCAATTTATAAGATTAACTTCTGAAATGTTCACCTACATTTACACGGTAGCTTCAGAAAAATGGTGAGGAAAGGTGAGGTCTACTCTTAGACAGCAAGGTGAGAAACAATCACGACGGCCTAAAGAGATTAGCGTCCATTACACAACTAATTTTTCACTCCCACCTTCGACGCTCATGACAAACAAGCCCTGTTTTCCTGGCTGCTGTGTCTGGGGGAGTGGAGGGAGGGTAAATGGGGAGGCCTGGGTAGGGGGTGTTTTAAGAAGGGTGTGGGAATCAATTATTCCACTCAAGAGACATGCAGGACCAATGGGTATTGTTTGGGATTAGCGCCCATTCTTGTCATGTACTGACAAACCCTCCCGCTGATCTCCTTAAGACCAGGTGTTATTAAGAAGCAGGGCCCTGACTGGGGGGCTGTAAGCTGCTGAACAACTGCCCTATAGGAGTGAGTGACAAGCTTATAACACTGAGAAAAGCACATTCCTGTGCTTTCATGTGTTCACCTGTGTTCACTGTAAAATGATATTAAGCACAACTGGGAAATCATGCGCGAAGCACATTTGTAAGATTTACAACCGTAGCTTGGAATGCTGTGAATAATACTTCCAGTAAATGTGTGTCGACTGTCCTGCAGGTCAGTTTTGTTTAGATGTAAATATTCACCTTGGTGTGGTTTTAAAATGGCAAATTTCAAATCTGTGCTTAGAACAAAAAGACGAGCCAGAAGCACGTGAGCATGTTTGAGCTGATTAAAGCAAACTTTCAAATGGCTAAATGCTGAAGGAAATACAATATAGGGGGAGAATTTATTATTCTATTAAACCATCAACCTCCAGTATGTAGGAAACAGACAAAGAAATAGAAATGGATGCCATTTGGCTAATTACAAGTAAAAGGAACTGTCCAATAGGAGTCCAGTTGATGATTAAACTTATTGACGTCAAGAAGCTGTGTCCTCCACTCATGTCATATTGTCAGTTGTCCTCTAAATGGGATTTACCTTCACAAAACGGTCAATACTTTTGAAGCAAAGCAGCCAGTTCAAGACCACAAAGTCCTCAGGAAAATTCTTTCCAACATAGGAAATCAAGTAGGAGCAGCTTCATTTTTAGTAGTGTACATATTGCACATATGGACTTAGTTCTGAAACCGGCATCAATCCCTTGGAGAGGGAGTGAAAGTCTCCACCATCTGCATATCAATCATCAGGTTCTGTTTACGCATTCTCAGAAACAGACATTACTGTTTATGGTGCTGATCAAAGATCCAGAAATGTGTGTTCAGTTACCAAACTGTCTCACTGCCATCTTCAATTTCAGGTGTTATACTGTTCGCAGTATAAAGTGGGAAACGACCTGACAGATTTGTAGGTGTCTGTAATTTGTGGTGAACGCACTCGGTGTTTTTAAAGAGCTGGAATGAAAAAAAAAAGAAAAAGAAAAGAACTTCATCTGAAATATTGGCAGCGGTGATGAACAGGTGTAGCTGAAAATACGTGGATTCTGCACGGGTTCACATACTTCTGGATTCTCATGTGTTAGGAATCAAGTTGTGTAGGGACACAAACTGTGTCAAATAGAAACTTTCACAGACTCATTCCTGAACAGGGAAATGCTGGGCTGGAAAAGAATGATATTCACAACAGGATGTCTGAAAAAGGTTATTGTGCATATTTAAATTAAACAAATCTAGTTTTCAGCAACACCAATACTCCTGCCAGGGTTTGAAACAATGTAAGTCTCACCTCATCCTCACAGAACAAACACTAAACCATGACTGTCCTTGAAGTTAAAATACTTCCAAACTGCTGACCTTGTTGACCTTGACTTAAATAACCAACTCATTAACACAAGAAAACCCACACTCACAACATCCAGCTGGTTGAATTATGAAACCCTGAACGTGAAGAATATCCCCAATTCTCAAAAGATTTAATTTGATCTTTTCTTTCAAATAAGAAGGGATGTGACTTTCCGGTAAACTTTCTCACTACCCGAATTCTTTGGAAGTGTTGAAGATATCATTTTCTAAATGATTTCTTCTGACAAAGTTGGCAGGAGACAAAGCCTCAAATTGTTGCCCTTGGGCCTGGTAATAAAGGAAAATCCAGGAATATATTGCACAATAGTGATGTTCATGCAGGTTTTACGTGACATCCGAAATCAATAATATTTCCATGTCGGAGAAGCCTTTTCCGTGACAATACCTGAATGTTGTGATAACCACTAAAATTTACGAGCAGGTGAAGTAATTAGTTGTTCAAGAGCAGACTTGCCCTGGGCGTCAGATTACCTCCGAGTCTGAACGACTCCAGGAGTTTGCCAATTGATTTATGGAGCACAATATGAAAATTTTGCAAAGAGATTAAAAATTTTGTTTACCGTACTTTTTGGTAGACTTGGCAAACGTCGTAATGGCGGATGAACTGAGTTCCTTGGGTGTGAACTGTGCATGAACTCAGCGGAGTAGTTCAGAAACCATCTCTCAACCTCTGAGAGGGCAAGACCAGACTGATGTTGTACCTGACACACAGCCTCCGCACACACAACCGCAGCACAGGCTGAGAGGCGTGTGTTGGGCAGGATTTACAGTTGACAGGTGAAATTGACACTGACACATTCCTCATGTCTCAGTCAAGAATGAATTATAATGATGATTTTAGTTTGAGCGGATGCTCAGTGAGGCCGGAGTCTATGTAGCTGCAAAAATGATGCAAAAAAAAAACAACAAAAAAAATCTGTAAAACTGAGACGACATGAAAAACGACGGGGCTCCAGGTGGATGCTTCCTACGTGGCTAATTTATAGCCTGTACCGTAAATACATAATGGTTGATTCTAAAAATCAGCCTCCAGCATCTACGACAGTGATTATCAACCAGCGGCCTGTGGGCCAAATCTGGCTTGCAAAACCTTTTTGTCGGGCCCACGACTGGATAAACATCAAATAATAATGTAAGTAAAAAATACAACTTTTATCTCATTTGGTTTAAGCGTCCGGCTCCACAGTAGGAATAACTAGAGGCATTTTAATGTTGCTAGGCTGTAGTTGCTGAGCATACAGGCCACAAAGTGTCAGAGCAACTGCCCTGTTGTCAAAGGAATAAATTTAGGTACAATTCATGAATGAAATCTCTCTGCCTTTGTTGGATTAAGAGTTGAAAATCTTAAATGGAAATTTAATTTGCAGCAGTTTCTTCAAATGTCGTGAACATAATGATCCTGTTCCCGTTCGTTCCTTGGATGTGGTCACCACTTAATGACCATTTCCACATGCTGTTAGTTTGTGGCTCTGGCTGTTTGATCGCATTCCCAATCATTATTAGTTCATTGCCATGTTGTAGAGTTTTCCACTTAATCACCAGAGCGGGCTGGTCATTAAAAGTTTAAGGAAGAATGTTCCTGTGAGACGTTAGTAGAACCTCGGTAGGATTAAGTGTCAAACACAAATGTGTCAACGTCCATCAAGGACTTTTGATTATGATCTTGACCAGAGAACCAAAATTTGTCTTCTTTTTTTTTGCACCACGAATTGGTCTCATGTAAGACAATATTAACCAGGACGAGTCGTGCTAATAATTCTGTAATTCTATTGGGACTGTGAATGCAACTTTCTTTCGTTTTAGTAAATAAAGGCTTGTTTTCTGCCTTTTCTGCCGTTCAAAGAAGCTTTTCAAATTTTCACAATGACAAACCTCATGACATATGCAAAAATATGCTTGTCAGTTTTATAAAATCTTTTGCAATAATAATCAATAGAATCTCTGCAGCTGTGTACCAAATGACCTTTGACCTGTATGCTCTGGGACCAAGTGTTTGGGAGCCTCCGGTGTAAACTGCTCAGTTATGGCAATCAAAAATATGAGTTGGGCATTTCTTCACAATACAAATACAATATACAGGAACTGGTTTTCCCCATTTTTTTTTCTGAGTTCCGTGAGTCCAGATGATGAAGATATGGTCCCTTTATTAGAATCAGTCCTAGGTTTCCCTGCGCAAAAAACACTTACAGATTCATCCAAATCCAGTTCAGCTGTTTTGGTCTTTTCGTGAGCCAGAACAACCAAGTTCTTCTGTCTGTCATGCAACATTGTGTGCCACAAGGCTGACTGTGGTAACAAAATATGAAACATATTGAAATGACTGCCCCATGATTGAATGCAGGGTATATGTGTTTTCATGTTCTTTTATGGGTAGTTATAGCAGTGCAAGATACATTTAACACATGGAGCAAAATTTACACAAGAGGTCTTCAGCTAGGGGTGGAGGGTGGGGAGGGGGTCCACAACCCTTAAGGGGTCTGTGGAGTAACTGTAGGAGATTCATGCAAATCTTCGTAATTTTTTTACATGATCTTCAGCATTAAATATTACATTGATGAAATGTAACATCTTCATCATTTACTCTCCAACTCATCCTCTGGCATCAGATCATTTCCAGGCTCATGGGGGAGAGGGGGTGAGGGAGGTGAGGGTACTAATATGGTGTGTTCGCTGTACAGTGCCTCCTGGACCATCAGATGTATCCACCTGACCCACTAATGAATCACAGACCCTATGTTGGTAAACACTGAATCTACTGTGGAGACAATTTTATGGCAATCAAATATAAAGAAGACAGAAATGATGTGAAAAAAAGTTTTTGTGAAGAAAGTGAGTTGTGAATCAGTGCAGCTCAGCTCTGTAGGTCTATCACCCCCTCCTCTCCCTCTGCCTCCCTCTTCCTCTCTCTGTCGCTCTCTCTCTCTTTCTCTCTCTCGCTGCTGATGGGAGGAGCGCAGCTCCTCTCTCTATAAGAAGTGTTGAACATTGAGCAAAGGATTTTACACAGCTACCCAGGAGAAACGAAATGATCTGCCCTGGAGCCGCAGCAAAATGCTGGATGGACACCTACTCCTGGGATGGTTATCATTCACAGTTATAGTCTATCTTCTCAGCCTGCCTGGACCAGCCGCAGCATACTTCGGGTAAGTAGTGACACACGCACATTATTACGGTGTGATGCTGATTTCATTGATTTGATTGGTCGCTGTTTCTCCAAAAGCCGGGCACCCGCACATTTTCCAACTTTCTTTTTCTTTTTTTTTAATTAATTTATTGAATTTACTCAACGCGGTTTCTGCAAGTTTCGTCAACACGCGATTGCAACAAATGTTGATGGATTTGAGAGAATGTTTTGGTTTGGAGTGGAGGTCAGTGAGGTGTCACTTGGCGGCGGTTGCGCAGCGCACAGCGGCCTCACAGCTGGTGGCTGGCTGCCTGCAGCAGGTTGTCTGCACATGATTTGGCCTCACCAAAGCTGCTGACAGTTAATTTTTTACAGACAGAAAATATCCTAGCAGGGAAGGAAAAGAACATAGGTGGATGGGTGTAACTTGGGGCTATTGTTTGTAGGTCTTCCTATTCTTCCAGGGACAGCAGCTGTGAAGTGCCCAGCTGGCACGTTTGGACAGGGAGAGCTGCAGAGAATGTGATTATTTTGCGTAAGAGTAAAATCAGGCCGTCAGTGGGCTCTGAAAACAGAAGCGGTGAGAAAGGTGAGTGTATATGCCTCAGACTCAACAGCTGGTAACAATAAAGCAAACTGACGGAGTGAACTGGTGGCCGAAACGTCTGCTCAGCTTGCAGAGAAAATTCCCCCATCCAGCATAAACATATCACACAACTCCGTCAGGGGTTTTTCTGCTGCCTCCATCAAGTTTAAAAAACACTTTGGAACACGTGTCGGGAAATTCATCTCAAACATTTAGCTTTTCATGAATCATGTCGTATACACAATGATGTTTAATTTAGAAAGAGCACAGGGTGTACATTTCAGAAGTCATGCCCAGGGAACGCCTTGGATTCTAGGTGTATCCCACCATGACCTCCACTGCACCGAGTGGCAACCATGAGCTGGTCTGTTCACATCAGGTGAACTGATTTTTTTCTCTCGGTCTCAGGACTGTTTATGGCCACACAGTGGAGCGGAGGCCACTGCTCCTGCCTTACAACAAGTATATAATCTGTCCAATCCCAGACATGTTTTCTCTATGTGAGACAAGGTGGATTTATAGATTAGTAAGACACTGTAAATTTATCATAGGTATGACTGGGACTCTGGATGGGTGTTGTTTCTCTATATGCGGCTCCGTGGAGGACTGGCAAACAGTCAAGGCTGTCCTCACCCTCGCCCTCACCCCTTGACTGATGGGTTTGGCTCAAACTGTCATGCAACCCTAAATATGGATGAAGCAGTTGACAATGATAGAATTTTTTTTTTTTAAACAGACCACACAGGTGTTCTGTACCATCTGTGTGTCAATCTCATTGATTTAAATACCTGTATACTGCAGAGACACAACACATTTACGGTAGATATTTTTGGTACAGATACAGATGAAGTGGAGTGAAAACACTAACCACAGCTCTACCCAGCAGTTCACTACTCTGTTGTTTTGGTCCATGCAACCTGCTTCCGTTAGTCTCACTCTCATGGCCTTATTCTTAATTAAAAGTGTGGTAAAAATAAATAGTAGGCGTCAGTTTTGGAAGTTCTTTCAAAACTGTGTAGACATCAAAATGTTAGATCAGTCTACGTCACGCCCAGTTTTTCACATCTCTGGGCAAATATTGTTCTCTTGGGTGTTGCACCAAAGTGTTGGCACTCATCTTTGGAAATTGGGTGATGCAAAGCCGCTGTATGGCACCTGTAATAGCTCAGCGTTGTGGAAATATCACAGCCCTCCACAGGAGGACGTCATCACCTGTAATGCTTATGCATTCTGTGTATGAGGGACTTTCTCTGCCTCTGTCTTTGGTTTCAATGCTGTTCTAAAGTTGCATTCAGGGGACAACTGTGGCCTCCGGCTCTGTGTTTCTGCCTTCCACCCAGTTGCAGTGTAAACGCTGACAGGCAGTGTGTGTTACATCTGCTGAGCCAAATTGGCAGAGACACCGGCCCTAATGCTCCTAATACATATTTACTTACTCAGTTAGCGCTTGTTCTAGTTTTCCCTGTCAGTCTGATCTCTATCTGTGGCCGACGTGCTGCACAGAGCCATGTGGTTTTACAACACTCCTGATTTGCTCCTTTTGCAGCAAAGACAATACGAACGGGTGTTAGCGAACGACTGAGCCCCCGAGGTTGACAAACATGTAACGTGGAAGTGAAAAGAGAGAATGCACAGGTGACACAGATACACATGTGACTGCCCTCTGGCCAACTTCACAGAAACTCAACACCAGTGACACTGTGGTATATAGTCCTGCTCAGCATTGACTCTGCTACACACTAAGAAAACCTGTTCAAATAAATATTCAATGAGCACAGGCATTCTCGGGCCTCCTGGGTACTGATTTACTCAAAATAGAGGGTCAATGTTGCATACTCAATTTCCAAAGTGCGGTGGAGCGTAAGTGTAACATAAACACAATCTCTCCTGCCCATAGTCTACGCAGCTGAGGGTGGGGTGGGATTCCTGGCGTAGTCAAGCACCCGCTTAAATTGTCATCTTTCGCCACAAGAATGTGAGCGCTCGTTTTCTTTCCCCTCAGCCTGTTGTGGCAGGTGCTGGTTCTGCTCGATCCGTTATCATTACGGTTTGAATCTGCAACGTGCGTCGAGCTTTCTACTCCTGACTCCACAGGTCACAGCACCTTGGTGAGATGTGGTGTAAACTGTCAGGGGAGGAAGTGATTTGTTTGCTCAGTTGACCGTATTACGGCTGTCTGCAACTGCTCTGTTGGTTTAAATTTTACTCCCAGTGAAAAGCATGTCATTCTGTGGTCTTGTAATCCTTGCAGCAATTTGGTCCTAACACTGCGTCAAGAGTTTATTTTTATTGAGTTCATTTGTGATATATATATATATATATATGTATATATATAAAGTCGCCCACATTCAGCCTGAAATGACCAATCGCTGAGGCACCACAACATGTGGAGGAAACAATACAGTTGTTGCTGTTACACAGTAATTAATGACCATGATCTTTTATCATCAGCCTGTTCCTGGAAAAACAGATGGGCTGATTGTTTTCCGCCCTTCTCCTCACTAAATCGTGCCAGTAGAGAGGAAAACAAAAAGGGATGTGTGTAAATACTGATGTTTTGAGGACTTTTTAATAGCGCTGCTGTGGAATGGTTATATTCACTCTGCCGAAACAGTTCCCGCCGGGTGTCAAACACCAATTTTAAGGGAGCTGCGTTTTCTATAGCACAAGTCATTAAAAGCTACAAGTTGTTTTTTTGAGTGGCTCCATGTAAACATTTCCTTTGGTTCCCCCTCTCCTCCCCCCCTTGCACTCCCGCCCCCTGGTTTTGTCAGCCCCATGTGCGTGCCGCCGTCCCTGCAGTGGTTTGTGGAGGCTGCTGAGCGATTACCACTCATTAGGAGCGACAGAGTTGTGTGGACTCAGGCTGGCGTTGCCTGGCAGACAGCGGTGGCAGGCATCTCATTACCAGGCCTTAAAGACTGATTAGCCTTGACGCGCAGTAGGGTGGGGAGCCCCGTTGATAGAGGGATTTCCCAACTTCATAGGATATCCTGTGGCTGCAGCCACACCTCGTAGGGTATCACTTTACTGTGAGACAAGGAGATAGGATTCTCACAGCCCTGGTGCTGTGACTTTGCAGTGTGGTGAGATCACACAAACTCGGAGGCTTAGATAACTGACCCTCGAAAAGACCCAGCTCTGTTTTCTCTGAATTTCTCTTTGATACACCAGGATTTGACTAAGCTGAGCTTTGTTTTGACTGCTCTGCTCTTTGACATGTCTGAATAAGGACTGCTATGCACATGGAGGCCACAGGGTGGTGCAGTGCCTTTTGAGTGGGCAGGATGACTTTCTGTTAGCTCTTTTCAACCTGTTTGGTGTAACAGTAGGAGAGTGGGAAATAGAATGCAGAAACAACACATCTGAAGGCAGCCCTCACTCAAAGTCTGAGGAAAAGAGAAATATTTTATCTAGTCATAGTCGACCTACTTGAAGGTGCATGAGGTTACAGACCAAAAAAAAGTTTCACTATTTGTACCATTTGATATGATAATTGTCGAACACACACCTTTGTATCACCAACAGTCAGTAAAACCATGACATGGTTTTACTGACTGTTCTAAACTCCATAAGACAGACCTGAGACTTTTACAGTCATTTATGGCCTCACGTTACAGGATTTCCAGCATATTTAGTTTTAAAGGGACGGCAACTCCAGCCCAGTCCCATCAGTCAGCTGTGCATGTGATTGGTGGACAGTCTGGAGATACAGGAGGGACACTCCCATTGAAGGAAAGTCATGTTCGCCAAACTGCAATCATAATGATCTTTGCAGATGGAGCTGGAGACATGGGTAATTTGCAAAACAGGAAAGCGAATATAGACTCACGATACTCTTAGCGGTCGGGCATTGATGAGACGATGCTCGTTAGTAAGACCGCTATGTCCTGTGTTTTCCATTCTTTACCACAAGCAAATTTTCTCTGCCTGGGTTTGTGGGGAGAAGTGAAAAGAGATGTGCCAAGATTAGTGGATTGACAAACCTCCACACCTACTGTTTTCTTTACTCCTCCACTGAATATGGATCTTATATCCAACTCAGGAGGCTTTGGAACATTTGTAATTAAATTTAAATAGAATCTGTATGCACCAGCCATCATTGACTGTAGAATTCTTTAATGGCATGCACCTGCTGAAGCACGAGTTAGACTTAACTTCACAAAAAACTACAGCGGGGAGAGGTTCTGCAGACAACGGTCATACTGTCAAAATGATGGACAGGTTTTTTTTAAAGATGCCTTTATGAAAGCGTTATATGTAGGCACATCAGATGAAAATAGACATTTATATCTATATATTTTTTTGATACTTAGACTTTTTTAAATTGTTTATTTCTATTAGTGTATTTCTGGACTGCAGGCAGGTCAGTCAGGACACACTTCAGATCCTTCAGGTATAAATCCACCACTCTGTAATTCTCTCATGTCACT